TTTCATTATGGAGCCTCTGGTTTTATAACTGTTTTCCCCTTTTTGTATTTTGTTGGAGAAAAAAATCTTCTGTGTTGAAAAAATAATACACATTCTCAGAAAAAACTTTAGAAACTAAGAATGAGCAAAAAGTAGAAAATAAAAGTAAATGCACCATCCAGAGATAAGTAGTAGTAACATTTTATGGTCTATTCTTTAAGACATTTTTCTGCTAGTACCCATTACTGTCAATGTGATCTGTGAAAATAAAATGTTTTATAATCTGCTTTCTTCACATAAAGATAGATTGTTAAGTCTTTTAGGTTGAAATTTAAGAACTTTCCAAAGTATCTTTTTTTTTTCCCCAAGTGAATAATACCTTAGGTGTTAGGCTGTAGGTGTCCTAAGTCATCCAGAAAGTGCCTATAAATTTGATCTCTGAGCAGTAAGCAGCCCAGTGCTGTACTTGGTCCCTCATGCCAGGCGGGAAGGAGCGTCACTAGGCCTTGGTGCAGACGGCTGTGTAGAACACGGGCAGCAGATACTGCATCTACGTTCCTGGGGATATTGGTTTGTTGATTTTATTTTCCTTAAATGTCTTTCTGGTTTGGTATTGGAGTATTCTTTCTGGTCTCAAAATATAAGTTGGCAATGTTCTTTCCTTTTCTGCTTTAACAGAGGTTTGTGTAGAATTGGAATTATTTTTTCTTAAATGTTTGATAAAGTTCATCAGTGAAATCAAGTTTTTTTGTATGCTTTTAATTTTTTTAAAAAATATATTTTACTGATTTTTTTACAGAGAGAAAGGGAGAGGGATAGAGAGTTAGAAACATCGATGAGAGAGAAACATCGATCAGCTGCCTCCTGCATACTCCCCACTGGGTATGTGCCCCCAACCAAGGTACATGCCCTTGACTGGAATCGAACCTGGGACCCTTGAGTCCGCAGGCCGATGCTCTATCCATTGAGCCAAACCGGTTAGGGCATGCTTTTAATTCTTTTTTAAAAATTATTTATTTATTTATTTATTTAATCCTTAATTAAAATTTTAAAAATAATATAAAACGTTAAAAAAATTTCTGTTTCCTTTTGTTCTAGTTTTTCATGGAAACTTCTAAATTATAGAATATATTGGCTTTAAATTGTTTATAATATTCCCTTATTATCCCTTTACTTGTTATCCTTTTGTCAGATCTGTACTGATGTCCCCTCTGTTGTTCTAGGTATTGGTAATTTGTGTTCTCTCCATTTTTTCTTGATCAGTCAGGCCAGGGTTTTTTCAATTTATTAATTTATTCTTCAGCAAGAAAACTTTAGGTTTTGATTTCTTTGGTTTTATTGATTTTTGCTATTTTTATTATGTCATTCCTCTGTCTATTAGGTTTAATTTGCTCTTATTTTTCTAGATGAAAGAAGTTTAGATCATTGATTTTGAACCCCTCTTATATAAGTATTTTAGGCTGTTCTAATTTAAGCATCTTTTTGTTATTGATATCTAATTTAATTCTGTACTGGTCAAAGAACATCTACAATATGATTTTAACCTTTTAAGTTTATTGAGTCTTGATTTATGGTCCAGCATGTGGTCTGTCTTCATGAACCAAAATTTTTAAAAAATAATTTGATTAAAAGAATTTAAAAGAATCTGATTTTTGGGTATGGGGCAGTTATTGGTTATAGTGTTTTATAATTGTCAATTATATTTTTTGCATTAGAACTGTTCAAAATTTTATATCCTTTCTGATTTTCTCTCTAATTGTTAGATCAGTTGCATAGAGAGGTGAACTGAAATAGCTAATTATAATTGTGTATTTCTTTATTTTACCTTTAGTTCTGTCAGTGTTTATATACTTAGGAGTTCTAATTTTCAGGAGTGTATACATATTATTCTGTCCTCTTGTTGAAATGGGCTCCTTTGCCATGAAGAACTGTCTCTTTTTATCTTTAGTAATACTCTTGTCCCAGAATCTGTTTTGTTTAATGATAACATGGTCACTCCAGCTTTGTTCTGATTAGTATTTGCATAACATATCTTTTTCTCGCATTTTACACTTAATCTGTATATTTGTATTTAATGTAAATCTCTATAGTAAGCGTATAATGGAATTTGCTGCCCCCCCCCCCCCCCGTCTGAAAATTTTTGTCCTTTAATTGGAATGTTTAGAACATTTATACTTAAATGTAGTTACTGGTGTGGTTAGGTTTAATTCTACCTTCTTGCTATTTGTTTTTCTCTGTTTCCTTTTAGCGTTTGCTCTGGGTTTAAAATGTGTAGTTTATTAAAAATTATTTTATTGCATAGTATATATCCATTCACTCCTGGCTCTTTTGTACTCTTTCAAATTTTTTTACATATGTTAAACCCCCACAATATATTGTTATTTTTGTCAATAACTTTAAAAAATGTTTCTATTGATTTTAGAGAGGAAGGGTATGGGAAAGAGAGATAGAAACATCAGTGATGAGAGATAATCATTGATCAGCTGCCTCCTGCATGCCCCCTACTGGGATTGAGCCCGAAACCCTGGCATGTTCCCTGATTGGGAATTGAACCCTGACCTCCTGCATAGGTCAACGTTCAACCACTGAGCCACATCGACTGGACTGTCATGTATAATTAAAAATATTTTAAAAAGTTAAAGAATGTATGTGCGAGATTGTTTATTGAACCCTTCATTTTGCAAAAGGAAACTGCTCCCCAAGGTCACACTGAGCCCTTCCGTGGCTGTCCTGAGAGTAGAACCCAGAGTTCCTTAGTTTTCAATCCTTGGCAATGCCCATTTCGAGTTTGGGCACATGGGCACTGGATTGACGCGCTCCTTTATCACCCGAGCACCGATTATGGACCAGAGGGCACGAGGTCAAGTTACTCCCTAAATGGGCACAGGGCCTGACATTTTGGAATTTATAGTTTAATGAATAGGAAGGCGATAAAAGTAGACAAACAAAGGTATTATTATTTGGGATAAGAACGGTGAAGGAAATGGAATCGTTGGAAATGAGGACGGTGATGGGCTTTGAGGCTCCGTGGGAGGGGGACAGAAAGCCTGCTGAGGACGTGATACTGAGTGGAGCCTGGGAAGATGCTGGGAGCCGGGAAGGCTTCAGCGGGAGTGTCCAGGCAGAGGGAGACTGACCTAAGCTCTGAGGTGGCAAGAGCTGGACCACGTGGCAGGTGGAAGGGCTGCGGCAGGGCAGGATGTGAGCAGGTATGCCAGCTTCACCAGGCACCTAACATTTTTTAAAAAAATATATACTTTTATTGATTTCAGAGAGGAAGGGAGAGGGAGAGAGAGAGATACATCAATGATGAGAGAAAATCATTGAGTGGTTGCCCCCTGCATGCCCCACATTGGGGATGGAGCCCGCAACTTGGGCATGTGCCCTGACCGGGAATTGAACTGTGACCGCCTGGGTCATAGGTCGACGCTCATCCACTGAGCCACGCCGGCCAGGCGGATGAGGCTAATTTGACCCCAGCCTTTGGATTACTTTTCAGACAACTCCAAGGACATTTGCAGCTCTCCCAGACCACACAGCCAACTGGGAACATCCAGTGATAAAATCTTTATTTTCCAGTTGTTATGTAAAAGCTTACCTTGTAATGAAAACATATCTTTATCCGGGTCAAACACATGCTGAGTTTCCCAGAGCCCCTGGTTATAACCAGGAGTAAAAGCAAAAACAAGTCCCCTTCAGACGGAACTTATTTCTGAACAGATACAGAATGTGGTGCGTAAATCTGTTTACCCAGGAAAATGAAATAGGAGGCAAAGCCTGTTGTCACAGGGAAAGCAGTCATAGTGGGGAAGTGGGGCTGTGTTTGTGCAGCGCAGGAATATTTTCAGGGCATTAAATTGTCGTCGTGTTTATGGAGAATCTGTGTGTGTGCGCATCTTGTATTCTTGTGCAGTTTATCATTTTGTTCCCATGTTGACTTCCAAGTTTGATTTTTTTAAAGCTATCTGAGGACAGAGAACTCATTTCTTTACCCATTCTATTACCGTTAAAAAAGATTGCTTTTCCAGAGTGTATGCAATATCTTCGTAGGCTCTGAGAAAACCCACCAAACCCTCCTGTATTCTGCTCTGGATTCATGTCACCTTGATTCTCCTGATCATCTGGAATTTTAAAAAACGTATTTTTATTGATTTCGGAGAGGAAAGGAGAGGGAGTGAGAGGTAGAAACATTAATGATGAGAGAGATCATTGATTGGCCGCCTCCTGCACGCTCCACACTGGGGATCGAGCCTACAACCTGGTCATGTACCCTGATCGGGAATTGAACTGTGACATCCTGGTTCATAGGTCAGTGCTCAACCACTGAGCCACACAGTCTGAGCTGGAATTCTTATTGGTAAAGGGAAGGCACTGCTCCTCCTGTCTCTTCAGTTCTGATATTCTAGCAGGGGGAACTGAAGCAAAAACAAAAAACCCAAAACCATTGGAAACCTCAAATACAGGTGTTGGGTTATTAAGGTGCTGATTATCAATATTTTATAATTGTGTGATTAAGAACAAGTCTCAATTCACCTGCCTAATATATATTTTATATGTGTGTATACATATTTCTGATACTCTCAGCATAATCATGCTATTTCCTTGGCATCTATAGTTGATATACTAGTATTAAAAGCTCTCGGTTGAAATGTTTAATTTTTGCTTTTAGAGGAATTGCAGTCATTGGATTGGAATTATTTTCTGCCCATTCTCTATGCTTTTAATCTCTTAATTCCAAAATATTGGAGGTGTATTATTCCTGAGCCTCTACCAGGCCAGGCATTCAGGGTGCTGGTGTCCGTGGGCTTTGCTTCTCAACATGTGGGCAGAGCTGGCCATGGTTCAGGTTTCCCACTCCTACTTGAAGGGGGTTCAGGGAACTGTTCCCATCTGTGGAACCGAAGCAGGAGAGATCCTTAAGAGGTGATGTAATATGATTGAATACTTAATTGTAGTTGCAGTAACTGTGTTAGCGTCCTTTATAATTTATTGGCAAAAGCACTCTTTCCTCTTTGTTGCAGTTCCAAAAGACCCGAAGCCCCAGTGGCGGCGTGTGGCCTGGAGCTACGACTGCACGCTGCTGGCCTACGCCGAGAGCACCGGCACCGTGCGGGTGTTCGACCTCATGGGGAGTGAGCTCTTCGTGATTGCCCCGGTGCGTGCGCGCCTTCAGCCGGTAACATGGCTTCTCAGTGTCCTTTTCGTGTAAGCACTCGAGTGAGTGAATGTGAAGAGAGGGGAATAGGAATATAAATCTGAATAGTAAATGGTGAACTTAAGATGTGCAGAATCTAGGTAGATATGCATACATGAAATAGTTTATTCTTTTTTTTTTTTTTAAATATATTTTATTGCTTTTTTACAGAGAGGAAGGGAGAGGGATAGAGAGTTAGAAACATTGATGAGAGAGAAACATCGATCAGCTGCCTCCTGCACACCTCCTACTGGGGATGTGCCTGCAACCAAGGTACATGCCCTTGACCGGAATCGAACCTGGGACCTTTCAGTCTGCAGGCCGACGCTCTATCCACTGAGCCAGACCAGTTAGGGCGAAATAGTTTATTCTTTGTATTTCGTAACGCAGTATCCAGATGCAGTCCACCGTTACTAACACGTGGTAGTAAGTACTGAGTAGAGATACCAAAGGATGTTATAAGCTTCCAGTGAGGGGAGAAGTTGGCAGTAAGTGAGTACTTTTAAATGTCCTTTCCGCAAGAAAATGAAACTAGACCACCAACTTACACCATACACAAAAATAAACTCAAAATGGATAAAGGACTTAAATGTACGACAGGAAACTATAAAAATTCTAGAAGAATCCAAAGGCAACAAAATCTCAGACATATGCCGAAGCAATTTCTTCACTGATACAGCTCCTAGGGCACTTGAAACTAAAGAGAAAATGAACAAATGGGACTACATCAAAATAAAAAGCTTCTGCACAGCAAAAGAAACCATCAACAAAACAACGAGAAAACCCACTGTGTGGGAAAACATATTTGCCAATGTCATATCCGATAAGGGCCTAATCTCCAAAATTTATAGGGAACTCATACAACTTAACAAAAGGAAGATAAACAATCCAATCAAAAAATGGGCAAAGGACCTAAATAGACACCTTTCAAAAGAGGACATTCAGAAAGCCAAGAGACATATGAAAACATGCTCAAAGTCACTAATCATCCGAGAGATGCAAATCAAAACAACAATGAGGTACCATCTCACACCTGTCAGACTGGCTATCATCAACAAATCAACAAACGACAAGTGCTGGAGAGGATGTGGAGAAAAAGGAACACTTGTGCACTGCTGGTGGGAATGCAGACTGGTGCAGCCACTATGGAAGACAGTATGGAGTTTCCTTAAAAAACTGAAAATGGAACTCCCATTTGACCCTGTGATCCCACTTCTAGGAATATATCCCAAGAAACCAGGAACACCAATCAGAAAGGATATATGCATCCCTATGTTCATAGCAGCACAATTCACCATAGCTAAGATCTGGAAACAGCCTAAGTGCCCATCAGTAGATGAATGGATTAGAAAACTGTGGTACATCTACACGATGGAATACTATGCTGCTCTAAAAAGGAAGGAACTCTTACCATTTGCAACGTCATGGATGGAACTGGAGAGCATTATGCTAAGTGAAATAAGCCAGTCAATGAAGGAAAAATACCACATGATCTCACTCATTCATGGATAATAGAGACCATTATAAACTTTTGAACAATAATAGATACAGAGGCAGAGCTGCCTCAAACAGATTGTCAAACTGCAGCAGGAAGGCCGGGGGGGGGTTGCGGGGCCGGCGGTCGGGGGGTAAGAGATCAACTAAAGGACTTGTATGCATGCATAGAAGCATAACCAGTAAATGTCCTTCCTTAAAGGGAAATGGAAAGTAATTGGAGACTTTTTTTTAGCTTTGGTTACTGCTGGAAGTAGAAATCCACATTTGAAGGCTTCTATCTGAATTCTGTATCTCAGAATCCTTTGAGGCTGAATGGTGGCATTGCTGTGTGTCTGTGTTTGTGTGTATGTGTGTGTGTGTTTGTGTTTGTGTGTGTGTGTTTGGCTATGGATGTCCAGTGAACATAAGTTCACTTATCTAGGTGAACATCTCATCCAAAGAGGCAGCTGTGGTCCCAGCTGTGGTTGGGAGGCTGGTCTAGACTTGGGTGTCTACTTGTAGGCACTCTGACTGGCAGATCAATTCTGGGGCTCTCTGATGTAGAGTCACCTGGTAAGGCCAATGTCTCGGATATCTTCACTTACAGATGTTAACTTCTATCTTTTTAATAACTTAATTTCTCCCTCTTCAGGCATCGAGTCTAGCAGGTGATTTGAGCTATGCCGTTGCTGGGTTGATCTTTCTGGAATATAAAGCAAGTGCACAGTGGTCTGCAGAACTCTTAGTCATCAATTACCGAGGAGAACTTAGAAGTTACCTTGTAAGGTGAAAGTAAAATACTTTGTTTGGGAAGACCTATTTGACAAAACAATGTTTATTTCTCTGGCTTAGTGTCAGCTTTTGTTGTTTCTTTTTTTTTCTTTCAGCATTTTATTATGAAAATTGCAAATATAATAGGAAGTTTGAAAGAATTGTATAGTGAAGACTCATATACCTCAACTTACATTCTACTAGCATTTCTACTGTACCTGCTGTCTCACATTCCTGTCCAGCCATTCATCAATCTCAGTTTTTAATGAGTTTCAGAGTCACTACTTAAATACGTTAGAATGCCTGTCATTAATTAAACTTCAATATTTGCTTATAGTTTTTTTCTTTTGAGATAAAATTTGCATACAACAAAATGCACAGATCTTAAGTGTACCAGCCAGTGAGGTGTGGCAAATGCATACACTTGTGTAGTTCAAACTCCTGTGAGATACAGAACATCAGCGTCATGCCAGAGCGTCCTCATGCCCCTTTCCAGTAAATCCTTATCCACACGCTCTCCCGGAGCAACTTCTGTTTAGATGTTGTACAGTGGGGCAGAGTGGGGAGAGGGATGGTCACCAGCATTCCGTCCACAGCGCTCATGACTTGCTTATCCATTCTTCTGTTGTTGGACTTCTGAGTTTCCAGTTTTGGACATTGCAAATAAAACTATGGCCATTCTTGTCTAAGTCTTTATGGATACACATGTTCATTTCCATTGGTTCACTATCTCTGAGTGGAATTGCTGAGTTAGAGGGTAGATGTAGTTTATCTTTATAAGAAACCACCCGACCTTTGTCTAAAGTTTTTATATTATTCACATTCCCACTATAATGTATGAGTGTTCTGGTGGTTTTGCATCCTCGGCAGTATTTGTGTATCTGTGCCGTTTAGGTTTAATTACAGTGAGTGTTGAGTGGCCTCTCACTGGGGTTTAATGGCGTGTATTTCTTTTCTACCTCCTTCCATTAGCGTTGGGACAAATCAGAGCTATCAGGAGAGTCACTGTTTCAGCTTCAGTGGCCGTCATCCCCGTGGCGTCAGCACAGCGGCCTACCACCCCGGCCACAGGTACGCAAGCACTTGTTCTCTCGGGCGGAGTCTCGGGTGGACGTGGAAGTCGTGGCACAGTTTTAGAGAGAAATTGTCCGTTCTGACTCTTCTTTTTTTTAAATTCTCATCTAACGATATGCTTACAGAGAGAGAGAGAGAGAGAGAGAGAGAGAGAGAGAGAGAGAGAGATAGATATCAGTGTGAGAGAAACATGGATTGGTTGTCTTTTGTACATGCTCTGACGGGATGGAACCTGCAACCCGGGCATGTGCCCTGACCGGGAATCGAACTGCCACCTCCTGGTGCTTGGGACAAGGCTCAGCCAACTGAGCCACCCCAGCGAGGCGGTTTTCTCTATTTAAATGTGTGTATATGTTATATATGTGTTTGTGTGTGCGCGTGTATTATATGGGAACGCAAGGTAGAAAGAAGCAAGGGTCTTAATGGTGCAGATAAAGTGATGTGGGACCTGGATGGAGGAGAGCTTCCCTCCGTGTAGGATCAGGGAAGTGTGCAGGTGGCACTTGCTTTGGAGAATGGGTACGGTCTGGGCCTGAGGGGCCTCCCAGACAAAGTGACAGTGTGAGCAGTGACAAGGGGAAGGCAGCTACAGTGCATTTTTTTTATTGCCTAAAGTATTACAAAGAGTATTACATATGTCTCCTTCCCCCCGCCCCTTTACAATCCCCCAGCCTCCCCTACCCCCCAGTGTCTTATGTCCATTGGTACAGTGCATTTTTGAAACCGCAGGAGGTGTAGCCTGGCTGACACTGCAGGGTGTGTGGGAGGGGAGGACGGGGTGGGTGTGATGGGAGATTGGGCATTGGAGACAGCTTGAGGTCAGGTGATTGGAAGCACTACGGGGCTGCCTGCTCTCTAGGGCAGGTACGTGTTTGAGATGAGGACATGTGATCAGGTGTGCTTTCAGGAAGGTTGATTCAGTTGGGAAACACTAGAGCAGGGGGTCCTCAAACTTTTTAAACAGGAGGCCAGTTCACTGTCCCTCAGACCGTTGGAGGGCCGGCCTATAGTTTAAAAAAAAAACTATGAACAAATTCCTATGCACACTGCACATATCTTATTTTGAAGTAAAAAACCAAAACGGGAACAAATACAATATTTGTATTTGCATGTGGCCCCGCGGGCTGTAGTTTGAGGACCCCTGCATTAGAGCCTGGGTGACCCAGGTGATAATGGACTAGTTCAGGCCCCAGGCAGTAGGGCCTCTTTATTTTCTTACACAGATTTGCTCTTCTGTGTTTTGCCACCGTTGGGGCACTGTTTATGTATGTATCACATTTTATTATTATTTTTATTCTGAAGAATAGGTCCTATATGTTGCATTAGAACGCCAGGTACTTGAAGGCAAAGAATGCGTCATGTACGTCTTTGTCAGTCACAGCATCTAGTGTAAGCCTGTTAATTGATGCCTCTCCCTCTCGGGCTCCCTGGACTGTAACTCTAATTTCCCGAGTGCAGAAGAAAATGGTCTCTCTGTTTTGATTTTTCTCTTCCCTCTTTCTTCTCTCTATTTGATATTCTGGTCCATCCCCCACTTTCCTCTGTTTTATTTTCTTGTCCCTTTTCCAAGAAGTATATTTTATGTCTTAATCCTTTGCTGTTTTTTCTTGTTTATTTCACACTAACTACATTGTTTGGATATTTTACAAAGGTCAATATTTGTTATGTTTTTTCCTAGCAGTATTTCAGGGGGTTAAGTGGGGTTTACTTGGGACCCTAGGTTTGAAATGATCATAAAATAGTTAGTTGTTACATGATACCAGTTTGTTGTAAGTCAGATTACATTCATTATTCTGAATGCTTTCACTTTTGGCCCAGGATCCAAACAAACTGTAGGTATATTTTTAGGGGGAGAATGATCTTTACATATAAAGTTTGGAAACTTAATTATTTTATCAAACCACAGAGGGGTGGGTTTCTTCTTGGTTCTGCAATCATATACAGTACAATTCTTGATAGCAGTCAGCGTGGGATGGATGATTGCATTAAGGTTTCTGGATGAAAATTGTTCTAAAGTAAGGAGTATGTGTAAATGCCCTGTTGTGCATGACCAGAATCTTGCTAGGTTGTTCATGTTTTCCATTAGGTGCTCTTTTTAAATGAGAGAAGCGAAAATGTTCCTCACATTTTTATTTATTTTTGGTTGCCCTAGTAATATGAGTCTGTGATATTCATCACCCACAAGGATTTTGTAAATGTGAGATAAATCGGCCCGAGTGGGGTTGGGATAAATTGGTGATGTACAGACTCAGGGTTTAAAGAAATGCATTGTTTTGCCTGATGCTGTGAGCCCGCTGCAGAAGGGAAACCAAGGTGGTGAACGGGTGATATAAAACAGAGATTAATAGAGGCTTTGGGATAAGCTCTGTGGGTTTGTTGTTTTTGATTCCTCTTTTTCACGTTTCCTAACTCACAGCCTGATGACCTTATTTCATCCTCCCCAGACTGTCTCCTGGGCCAGTCCTGCTCCCCCTCCTACAAGCACCCCAACTCGTTCCCTCTTCTCTTTTGGGTGCTTAGTGTTCTCTTCGTTCTGTTGATTTTGGCTCACATTGTTCCCTGGTTCCTTCTTAGAGAGGCGGCTTTACACTTTCAGCACAGGTGGGCGCAGTGCTTGGAGCTGGGGATCCAGATGTAATGCCCGCTCTCTGAGTGGATAGCCCTGCAGAGGAGTCATGTAGTCACAGATGAGGGCATGCCCTTGATGTGAGTTCATTCAAAAAAGACTCTATCTGTGTATGTATTTTTAAATGACATTGCTTTCAACAGCTTACCGCTTGTAAAGAAGCTTGTATTCCTAATTTCATTGTGCATTTCTACAAGCAAAAGCTGACTTACTCAATTTTGAATCTCAGCCATTCTTTGGAGCTACACAGAGATAATTAGTGTTTGAAGGTAACATCTAGACCAGGGGTGGGCAAACTTTTTGACTTGAGGGCCACAATGGGTTCTTAAACTGGACCGGAGGGCCGGAACAAAAGCATGGATGGAGTGTTTGTGTGAACTAATATAAATTCAAAGTAAACATCATTACATAAAAGGGTATGGTCTTTTTTTTTTTTTTTTTAGTTTTATTCATTTCAAACGGGCCGGATCTGGCCCGCGGGCCGTAGTTTGCCCACGGCTGATCTGGACTCTAGTTTACATCACAGCAAAGAGAAAAGATAGAAAACACATCTCTCTTGGGCCCTTTTAGGAGCAACCCATGCTCAGAATCCTTGGTGACTCACATAATTGATTTTAAGTGTGTAATCCAGTGATTTTCAGCAAATGTATAGATTTGTGCAACTGCTACTACAGTCAGGTTCAGAATATTTCATTACCCCTAGAGATCTCTCCTGTCTTTGAATTTTATGGGATTCAAATTGCATCTCAGTAAAACTGTAATAGATAAAGGAATGAATAAGGGGAAAAAAGACCCTTTAAACAGGCTTTCATTTGAACACTTTTATCTTTGTTAAGATACTCGGGTTTATGGTAAGAGAGGCACTCATGTTTCCTGCCGTCCGTGGGCGGAACCCTCACTGAGTGATGTATGCCATGGTTATGCAAAGGGCGAGTCCGAGCACTTGGATGATTTAAGTTTTTTATCTCTCTCAATCAACCATGTTTTAGGCCAAGTACAGCTTCTTCAGAAAGAACTTGAGACGATGTTTACAGGGAATAAGAAGCGATGGTTTCATATTGCCTTATAGTAGGTTGCAATCAGATGACAAGCTACACTGGCCGAGAGTAGTTAGGGAATGGCATTCTCCCAGCATGCAGTAGGGACTGCTGTCCTGGGCATGGCTGGAGTAGGGCATAGTCTATAAAAAGCTGTTCTTTAGGGGAGACTGAGAAATACCTTTAAGTAAGGGCATGCTGAAGTGTTGAAGGGCCATGCTCTGGGTATATTGGTTTGTTCATCTTACCTGGCTTTCCGATTTCCCCTAAACAAAACGTTAAGCATTTTAACTCATGAGTCTCTTACACTCATGGGATAAAGGGAGTATTCCAAATAAAGAGCTCGTACTTAGTGGGGGATCAAAAGTGCTTGGTGTGTGCATGAGCTCTCCATTGACGTGATGCTAATTTCACTGGCCCAAAACGCAAGGGAAACAGTCTTCACGTAGAATGGGAAGGGGTGCCGTAGAGCACACAGAGGGGCCACAGCACTCTTATCTAGGGAAATATAGGCTCATTCCACAAATGGTTAAATTTGATCTTGTGGCGAAGATAGTGTTGAGTCCCCTACCTGAAAGCTTCACCCAAGGGCAAGGGCAAATTCTGCTGCCCTCCAACGGGGTGGACCTTCCATCTAGACCTGCGAGATACTTCTACAAGGTAGTCAGTGGACTTCCACAGCCATTACATCACCGTAAAGTGGCCTGTCTTTCTCTCTGGTTCCTAAGTCATATGTATTCTGGGAGAATCAAGGCACTGATATGTGGAAAGATACACTATATTGACAGCTAGAGGAGAAGATAGCTGTAACATGCATACTAAATTTTTCATAAACCCTAACTAGATAAGATTAATAATTTTCTGAAGGATTGCAGGGGAATGAGCACTGGGTCATGGTCATTTCGATTATCTCCCACTGCGGGGAGAGAGAGCACTTGGCCTTCGGTAATGCAGGGTCTGTTGGCATTTGGGAGATTAATGTGCAGCCCTGTGCCTGAGAAGTATGAATGTCAGTAATCCAGTTGACCTTATATTAAGGGGTTTTTCATTTCGCTTCTCAATTTCTCATTCCTCTAGCATGAGAAAATTCTTCTTTTCATATTTCAGGTTGGTTTTTTGAAGAGAAGTGAAGCTGTTGTCTGTAGGGAAAGCTGCATTGTCTTGGTAGAGGTGAAAGCCCTTAGATGTGAATTAGGGGGCTTCTGAGCTTCACAGACTAATTTTTTGGTGATGGTGGGGGTGGGGGGGTGCTTTATAGGCATTTGTTTCTGGGGAGGCAGGGAAGTGAGTCTTGGCCACATCGTATGGTCTGTTTTTGCCCAGAATGTTAAGGGTGGGTAGACATGTGTGACTCAAAGTATCTTGGTTCTTAACAGCCTCCAGCTGCCTGCTTTTTTAAAGTAGAAGACAATGCCTTATTAATTTGAACATTTTTGGCTTAGTATTGAAAAACATTAAGTTTTTTTGGAAATCAGCTTTCACCCATCCATCACTCCTACATTCAGAGATTCTTTGATAGGATGGGCTCATTCTCATTATGTTACCATTGCAATTAAATGGGCCTTTTAAGATCTTTCTAAATTTTTGAACCTGTTCAGTTGGTAAATCAATCAGTCAATCAATCTCTCTACCCCCTCTTTCTTTCAGAGTGTTTTGGTGGTAGTTTAACTTGATCTGACTTGGGTCAGATTGACTTTCTTCTTAAACTCGGAGTGATGCTAGCTGGGTGGGTCCCTCTTGGGAGCAGAGAGTGGAAAGAAGGCTGTTGAGTCTGTTTTATAGGAATGAGGACTGATGCATACCTAGGCTCCTCTCTCCAAGACGTGATCAGGTTGTTGTGGGATGGGATCCCAGCATCTGATTTGATAAAAGCCTCTGTAGGGCATTCCGATCCCTTACTCCCCCTTTGAGAATCCTTGGCTAAGGCTTTGGGAGATTAAAGAAAATGAACAGGAGGTAGCTTTTCCTTTGAGGTTGCCCTAGTGAGGAATAGGAGTACATTTTACTGTAGGTGTTGCCTGCCTTCCATGGGTTATGGCTGCCTAGAACGCTGGATTGAGAGTTGCCATGGAGCCGCGTCTAGCCCATCAGGAGCTGCCCGTGTATGACACAGGTGTGTAGTAGCAGAGCCAGGCTGGGTGTTTCTCTCCTCTTCCCTAGCTCGTGAGGGGTGTGTGTGTGTGTGTGTGTGTGTGTGTGTGTGTATGTATACTTACGCTCCCCCCTCTGAGTGTTCATTGCTGGTATATAGGAATACAATTGATTTATGTATATTGATCCTGCATCCTGCAACCTTGCTGATCCTGATTATTAATTCTAGTGGATATTAGTGGAATCCTTTGGCCATATTTTTCTCTTACCTACTCTATGAATTCTTTATAGGCAGCTTTAACCAAACATTCAACCACTTAAGTGCATATGTGATATCTCCCAAATCTGTGTCCCGTAAGTCCCCCCTGGGCCCCAGAGCGATTGGCCCAGCCCCACAGAACTTGTCTTGGATAGCCAGCTCACAGGTACCTCATACTCATTACATTCTAACTGAATTGATCATATTTTACCTCCAGCCCTACATTTGCTCCTATATGCCCAAACTTGATATATAGCATTTCACCAGGCCAAAACCTGAGATTCACTTTCGATAACTGTCTTAACTCATTTTTATGGATCTTTAAGACTTGTTGATTATTCTTCTCTCATAGATCTCAGATTTTTCTCCTCTCCATTTCTACTACCATCTTATAGTTCAGAAACTCATTACTTCTCACGCAATTTATTATCAAGTGTGTTCCCTGCTTTCTGTCTGATCCTCCTCTAATTTGTTTTCTGTTGTGTTTCTGGCAAGGAATATAGGTCTTAGAACACAAGCCTGAGCTTAAAAATTCACCTCTAATTTCCTTTAGCCCTGGGGAGAGAGCGACAGCTCCTGGGTTTAGTATTAAAGGCCGACTGTAGTTTGGTCTTTTGACTTCTCTAGGCTCCTGTCACTGCCCTTCATGTTTCTTTGCTCCAGACCAATGGTCAGCACACTTTTCTGTAAAGGGCCAGTCAGGCTCTGTTGTAACTGCTCAGCTCTCCCCTGGCAGTGTGAAGGCGGCCCTAGAAACACACGAATGAACGTGTGTGAGTGTGTTCCAGTGCAGCTTTATTTACAGAAGTAGGTGGTGGTTTGGATTTGGTCCAGAGGCTATGGTTGTTGACTCCTGCTCTAGATAACTTCAGACATGTGTGAATTCTTGCATTTCTCCGTGTCTTTGTTTGTTAAAGCCTTCATGCTGCTGCTTACTTGTTTTGTCCTCTGCCTATAAAGCCCTTCTTGCTCTTTTTCTGACCTCTCTGCAGTAGAATGTCTAATGTATGCCAGTCAACCATCTCTTTGAATATGGGTCCAATTCTGCTTGAAAGGTATAAAACGAGGAGTGTTGACTTTTACAGATTTCTTACACCTCTTATTCTAAATTCCAAATTACATGTGAAGGAATTTATAACCAGGTACCACTCAATTTTAAATACACTTAATGCCTAATTATGAAATTGCCAGGAAAATGAAGTTTTGCTTCGGAACTAAGCCGTCTCCATTTCTCCGTTAGTGCTTTCTCCATCTGAGAAAAATTCTCAGGTTTTGTCTTCACAACTAACGATTCAGGATAAGCACTTTTCCTTGGTGATCCTCACGCATGTGTCCACTTGATAGTAGGATGCTTCATATTTCTATTCATGGTGAACCGTGTCCTGCGGAGCTCAGCTCATGGATTTCAGCGTAATGGAAGTGTGCATTCTCAGACGGTGGTGCCTGCCCTGCGGCATGCATCACCGGGAGAGGCTGTTGAAGATGCAGATTCCTGGGCTCTGCCCGAGGCCCACTGAGTCAGACCTCTGAGGGGTGGCCCAGCAGTCTGCGCTTTCACAAGCCTCCAGGAGATTCCAGGCGTGCTGATGTTTGAGAGCCACTGATGGGAACCGTCGTGGTTATGCGTGTTCCCTTCTTATAAGCTCTTTATCTAATACATAAAAGTAATCAGAATTTAAAGTATTGAACGAGTAACAGTTTTATAGTAAAGAATATTTAAGTTATACTAAAATGAATTAAAATGGGAACCATTCCAATTATTCTAAGAGAGGAATGGCTTCTAGCTTTAGAGTGGAGGGCAATGATTTTTGAGCCCTTACTTTGGTCGTAAGCATAGTCTTAAACACTTCTCAATTTTGAGACATGTCGTTTTTTCTTTATTTCCTTTTTCTTTTTTTCCCTTCCTTGCTGATTGTATGCCACAAGCACATTGGTCATTGGACAGAGCGTATCAAAGTGTCTCTGCTAGTATTTCAGATTTCTCTCCTTGGATTGAAGGAGTGTCAAGCCACTAGATGGCAAACTCTTCCAACCATTATTAGCTTGAAGAACCTCAATAAGCCATTTATAATCCTTGGCAATAACTATAGCGCCCATTTAGATCATCGTTGTTATGTATGTGTGATACTTAGGGGCCTGCTGTCTGCCCACCTCCCGCTCCTCAGATGGCCTTGTCCACCCCATTATTACTGCCTGTCTCTCTGCTTCCGCCTGCACTCCTGCTCACTTAGCCCACTCCTCCCTGTGCATTTTTGCTGCATCAGTCACAGTTCATTTTTGTTGTCTGGCACCTATGCTCCTGCTTTGAGTTTGAGACTCCTAGAATGTCAGAGCTGGAAACGAGATCATCCATCATGGGGCCCAGCCCCTTCATTTCTCAGGTGGGAGAGCTGAAGCCAGAGAGGGTGAGCCACGGACAAGGACTGTGTTTTAGTTATCTTCGTGTCCCTGTAGTTCTCTGCAGAGTGTGCAGGTAGGTATTTCTGGAGTGAAACAATGCTGGGAAATACTGTAAAGGACACATACACACAGTCTCTGCCCAGGTGGCTCACCGTTTGGTCATGGAGGCATTATGTAAAGCAGTGGTCACCAACTGGGGGTCCGCGGACCACTGGTGGTCCATGAGGTCTGAAAGGTTAGCAACCGCTGGTTTAAATAGCGGGGCCCCGGGGCATCTGTTCTCTCGCCTCTTCCAGCTTCCAGAGGCCGCCCTGCTGCCTTGGCTCGTGGCGCCTGCCTTCAGCCAGCCTGGCCTCGCTCACGTCGCTCTGGCACCGACGCCCGTCCTCCCCTTCTGTCTTTAAATGCCCTCATGGCACCCGGTGCTTTGCTGCGATTCACACACTATGTGTCTGGGTGAGGAGGCACGTCTGTTTGTTAAAGTTTATTGGTGTTGATAGTTCCTTTGCTATTCAGTGGCCAACCTTGAAACATTTTTTCTCATTTCTAAGTCCCCATCGGGGTTTAGGTGCTGAATTGTGTAAACCTTACCCCTGCATAAGGGAAGGTGAAATTCTAATGGAAAAACCTGGCTTTCTTTGCTTGTTTCTTCTAAAATATTTACCTTCTAGGTTTAGTAAGTAGTGATCTGACTTTAGTTTTCTTTGAGAAGGTAACTGTGTCTGCTCCCTTTGTTTCGATGGTGTCTTGTTTATATTGGCAACTTAGCAATTCTTTTCGTTTTTCTCTTTCGTAGACTTTTGTTGGTGGGCGGATGTGAAGCTGCCGAAGTGGGCACCTCAAAAGCGTCCAGCGCTGGCCTCTCTGCCTGGAGGGTGCTGTCAGGGTCGCCTTATTACAAGCAGGTCACCAGCGGCGGAGACACGGTTGCTGTGGTGAGTCTCAGTCTCGGCATTTCACTTTGCTGCTGGGCCTCGGGCAGGCACGCCCTGGGCAGAATAAAGAGGACGAAGTAATTTGTCCTGAATGAGGAAAAGGACTTAATGCTAGTGACATTTTAGTGCTCCTTTCACATGTCCGATTTATCTAAAGCGTATGGCATGTGACTTCATTGTTAGGAAACAGTCAACCTCGCCGTAGTCCTGTTACTTGAACCGGCTTATTGGACATTATCATTTTTTAAGCACTTTTTCTGTCTGGCAGCTGTGCTGAGTGCTGCTCTGTGTATTAGCTCATTTAATTATCAGCAACCCTTTCAGGCAGGGATTGTTACTACCCAAGCCTGTTGATGAGCCATGAAGTCGGTCAGCTGCGAAGCCCGTAGGACAGTGGGGGCAGGTGTAACTGACAGAGGGAGCGGTCTGGGGAAGGGGCAGTCACGGCGAGGCCTGCCTTGGCCCTGGCTCTCTGAGCCCTCTGTGCGTTCACTCTGTGTGTGTGTCTTCCCCCTGCCCTGCAGCTTTGGTCCTGGCATCTTTTTAAAGACAATTGCCGGCGCACTGACAGAGTAAGTGGGGAAGGAAAATATTGATTGCCAGCTGAATGCTGTGCCGTGCGATTAACTTCTTGAGATGCTGCAAGTGCATTTTCGTTATGTTAGTGGCTTTTACATAAGTCTTGCAGCTAAACGTATGGTCATTCTCCATGGCCTTCCCCTGCCTCAAGGTCACCTGCATGATAGGGTTCGTTCCTTTTGTCAGGTGGCAGACATCGTCCTCATGGAACCTCCTCTGATTGTTTGTTTAAGGTGGCTATTGTGTTGGGGTGGATATTGACCGAAAAATGCTGCTGCCATATATTCTAGTCCCTTGCGAGGCTGCTAGGTTGTAAAACAGACTGTACAAAATTCAATATATGCATTGACCCAAGTTCCCAAATTAATGCTCCTGTCATCTGTGTGATAGTTTATTTATTTGTTTGTTCAACATTGAATCACTGCTCCAGGCAATAGAGGTGAAGGTAGGAGTTCTCCGGGGCTTTCTGCTCGGGAGGGTACAGCTGTGTCCAGAACTGAGGGCGATGAGCTGCACAGGTGCCAGGCAAGAGTTCAGTTCCTGGGAGGAAGGGAAGAACCCGGGCTCAGGGGTCCTTTGTATGTTGTTTGGCCGTTGTGCTTGGAGGCCTTGAAGATTTTCTTTAGCTTTGAAATCTAATAGCTTACTTAGGGTATTTCTTAGAGTTGGTTATTCTGGGTTAATGTCCCCAGGGCACCTCTTTCATTGTATAAATTCAGATTTTTTCTGTTTCTGGGAAGTCCTTTTGGATTATAAATTTGAAAGTGATTTTCCATAGGCCTCAGACCCTTTGTTAGTTTCCTTTGTCTGGCTCCCTGGGCTCTGTAATTTTTTTCATTCTGCTTTTGCTCGCCACCAGGCCTTGAAGTGGGCCTGGGGTGGGGGTGGGGATTGTGGGGACATGACAAGAGCAAGTGAAGTGACACCCTGGGATTTGGTGATTTTTCTGTTTCTTCTTAAAGTTATTATGAAGATTGGCTGTCCTCAATCTTCAGTTTCAGCTGTGGCGGGGTTTTTATGTAGAATTAGTTTTCCGTTCTTGTTCTTTCTTGTCATTGGAGAAAATGTTGGGAGCTAGGCTGTCACTAATGTCTTCAGGTACTCAGTTCTGTTAGGACAATTTTAACTTCAACAAACAGTACCTCCCTCCCCCCCTTCCCTTTGCCTTTTTCTTTGAAATTAAGTACAATTCACATTATGTTAACCATTAACCATTTTGGAGTATACAGACCGTGGCGTTTAGTACATTTATAATTTTGTGCAACCATCCGCTGTCTAGTTTCAGAACATCTTCATCACTGGCAATCGCTAGTCTGCTTTCTCTTTCTATGGATCTACCTATTAGTGTTCCATGTGAATGGAATTATGCCATATGGCCATTTGTATCTGGCTTCTTTCATTTAGCATAATATTTTCGAGGTTCATCCAAGTTGTAGCATGTATCAGTATTTCAGTCCTTTTTATGACTGAATAATATTCCACTGTGTACATATACTACATTTGTCTATTCTTTAGTTTATGGACATCTGAATTGTTTCCATTTTCTGGCTGATATGAATAGTATTTCTATAAACATTTGTGTACCAGTATTTTGCCGGAAGCTGATCCATCCTTGCTGCTTGACACAGTCACTGCAGGGAAGAAACATCTGCACAGCATATGTTTCAAGGGACCTGGCATATATGGCATACTGTTCTTAATATCTTTGCTCCCCTTCTTAGCACTATGTGTTTTAACCAAAGTCACCTCTCAGAGAAAGGTTGTTTCCCCAGGTGGGGATTTTTTCCCTGGAGTTAGGGATTAACAGGACTAAGGAAGGGAATAAATCCGTAAAACCCCTTAACTAAGTGCCAGGCGGGTAGTTAATCACTTTAACTATGAACAATCACGATTAAACTACATAATCTTTACTTAGGATAATCTTCAGTTACTTCCTTGTAGCTTAACAGAACAATAGAGTAACCTTGGAATGGAGGTAAGAAATGCCCTAACCTTTGGAATAGAATGGATAGGATTAAAATCAACTGGTATAAATACAGATGTAACAGGACAATACAGACTGAACCTGGCTGGAGAACCTGGATAGAACCTGGCTAGAGAACATGGCGAGAGAACCTGGCTAGGCTGCTGATCAACTGAACACTGTCTCAGTGTCATTCCCTCTTTGCCAACTCCGTCCACACCTTTGGAAACCCCTGGACCTGCTGGGGGTGGACCCCGGCAGTATTTGTTTGAAAGCATACATTGAATTATTTTGGGTATATGCTTACATGGAATTGCTGGGTCCCATGGTAATTCTAAGATTAATTTTTTGAGGAACAGCCATACTTTTCCATAGCACCGTACCATTTTATATTCCCACCAACAATGTGCTAGCATTCCGAGTTCTCTACATCTCCAGTGACACTTGTTAGTTTCCATTTAAAAAATTATACCTATCTCCCTCTCTTGCTTTTATAAATATATTAAATCTAAAGACCAAAATAATCTTGTGTTATTTAAAATGCTGGTTTCTAAATGGTGATTACTTTTATGGTATTTTTCATGTGTAGAATTAATTCCTTAATGAATGAAGTTTCTGTTGGAAGTTTTGATCTTTTCCATAGTAAGACCAGGATAGAATGATAACCTGGGCAGTGTCTTTGCGTAGAGCTAGGAGTAGATTCCAATTTGCATAGATTGTATTAGACTTATTATGTATGTATTTAAACAGCATTTGATTTTGGATGTATTTGTAAGATTTACCGCTTAGTGGATTTTTTTTTTTTCCAGATAAAAACTGTCTCACCGATATCTCTGACACCTATCGATGATCTTAACCATTTCTTTAAATACTAGATTTGCTATAGTTTTCAGTTTATGATAAAAAGGACTTTTTACAATGAGAAAATATTAATCTTTCTTTGTATGATGTGCCCTTATGCTGTAGGTACCGAAGACTCTGGGATTATTAAGGATGCTAAATGTCAAGTTATACAGTCACCCAGGACAAGAACAGGTAACTCACAAGCTTAACCTGTGATTCTCAGATACGTTCACCAGTGTACCATGCAGGGCACCATTGAATGAACCTTGAATGTTACAGATCTCCCTCTGCATGTTCTCTTAATTGTACACTGTGTGGGCACATGCAGCAGTGAGACTTCATGGAGGTGTTCACTGAAGATTTGTGTATTTTACTATTTTTTAAAAAATCCCTGCGGGCATTGTGGTGTCTGGGGACGGACTCATAAAACAAGCTTGAAACTTGGATATTCTTTTAAGCTGGCTATTGGGTCCATGGGTATTCATTATACTATAATTTCAACTTTTCGTGTGTGTGAGTGCAAATTTCTACAACAAAATGCTTCAAGAGGAATGATAAGTTTGCAGTATGTATGTCATAGTATCAAGTGAAACTAAGAGGATCAAGAACCCACCCCATTAAAAGCAGTTGTTACATTTTACTTAATACAGTGATTGCTTAAGTGTCTGCACAGAAAGGAAGGAAAGGAGGGAGAGATTAAATCAAAAGAAAATTGCGCATGTTCATTCTTTTCCTGATCACAATGCTATTGTAAATTACTCATATTATTGCATTCAGTATACATTTTTCTGTTTGTTGTTATTAAATAGATTCATAAACTTTCTCCTTGCTTTGAGAGCATTTTTAGTGGAGTTGTTTAACGAAGCCTTGGTAATTCCTGGGAGTTACCATATAGGTCACACGTGACTAACTATTTTGATGACAAAAACAGTAAAGGATACCTGAGCCATCATTTCTACTGAGGAGCATGCCTGTGACTACTAGGAAGGCATGCCCAGCTGGCAGTAATTGTGATGCAGCAGAAATGACATGGACTGGGGTCAGAAACTGCACCCCGTTCAGGTTCTGCTGTCTGCACTGAATGCTCTTGGGCTGGTGTCTTAACGCTTTCAGGCCTTCAGGTTCTTCCTTTGTAAACTCTAAAGCAGGGGTTCTCAAACTTTTTAAACAGGGGGCCAGTTCACTGTCCCTCAGACCGTTGGAGGGCTGGACTATAGTTTAAAAAAAACTATGAACAAATTCCTGTGTACACTGCACATATCTTATTTTGAAGTAAAAAAACAAAACGTGAACAAATGCAATATTTGTGTTTGCATGTGGCCCGCGGGCCGTAGTTTGAGGACCCCTGCTCTAAAGGATGGTGAGAGATGCATCAGCTCCTAAGCATGCACGCTTCTGAGGCTCACTTGATGCACGCTTCTGAGGCTTATGAACTAGAGCTGTGGGAGGAAGATGCTGGTCCTTCTCCTTCTAGCCATGCCTGTCTCCATCGCACGGAAGGGAGGTGCAGTAGTCAGAACTTTGCTGGAGTGCTTTTGCTTCTATTGCTTTCCTTTCCCAGGCATCTGTATTTTAATCTTTCTTATGTTTAGTTTTGGCTTTCTGGGGTAGAGCGTTCTATCCAGGTGAGGTGAGATTGGAGGATGCTAATCTTCAGTGAGCTTAGAACTTCCTGATGTTTTCTTCTATCTACTCATCCAGCAATTTCCTCACTTCCTCAAATTGTACTGTTTGTTGATGACGACTAATGTAGATAACATGGTGAATTGAGTCAGATGTCATTCTGGATTTTTAGTATAGTCATGTTTGGGTTTTGGTTCTGTAGCTGATATTTGGCACTGTTCTTGAGCCATCACAGGGAATGGTGGGGGCATGACCCTCCTAAGGGCATGCATGCTACCTAGTCCCTCCTGATTATTGCCGTCTGGGGATGGGGGCCCTGTGTTGCCAGATTTCCTAAGGGTTCAGGAGAAGTAAGGTTCTGGGCTGCCATTTTCAGGTCTCTGTTTTAGTCTCGAGGGTAAACTACCTCAGGCCCTGTCCTAATCCATGCTGACTGAGGAGCAGATGCCCAGTCAGTGTGTTGGGTTCTTCTGAGTCTGTTGTTGGGGTTAGACAGGTGATATCTCTGCTTGTGTGGTTCCTCTCATGGTAGCTGAGCAAGACTGGTTTTCTCGTGGGAAAGGCTTGAGATTATTTGAATGAGTAGGACTTGAAAGATAAGATTTTCTCTGTGAACCATGAGGTTGGCCATGTAAAATCAGTGTATACATGGTTTCTCTCCTCTGTGGCAACAATTACTGGTAGTCTTTAAATGGGGTAATTTGCCAGCTGAAGCATTCATGGTGCTCCCCAAGTTAAGAAATGCCTTTCTTCCCCCGGCTGCCGTAGTTCCGTCACCCTTGGGTCCTCTTCTCCTGTCTCTCTCTTCCTTCTCCTCCCTTTCCTTCTCTTCCGTGGCATGATTTGTGCCTGTCTATGATGGATAGCATATTCCAGACATTGTGTGCAGATAGAATTTTGTAAAGATGTGAACCCAAAATTCAAGAAATTCATAACCTACTTAACATCAACCCATAAAACTTAACATCAACTACCATTGAGAACTCATGGTAGTTGATGTGTGGTATTAAGGAATATTTTTATAATGATATCATATTTGGTTTTAGGGTGATATGTAAATTATTACGCTATAAAACAGATGTAAAAGTCCTCCCGAAGGGTAAGAGTCCTGTTTCCATATGCCGGAGCACATTTGTAATGTCACGAAGCTGCTGGAACCCTTAGTTACGAGAGATCATTGATGGCACAGCACCCTCTGAAGCGTGTTATTAAATTCTGGAAGTCATTTCTGTCGAGCTGCAAGCCCTCGGCCTGTCATTAATGTCGGGTAATTTCTGTGCAGGACGGGATCTTTAAGATGAGCCTCTCTCCAGACGGGACCCTCCTTGCAGCCATTCACTTCTCAGGGAAACTAAGCATCTGGGCCGTCCCATCCCTGACGCAGCAAGGCGAGTGGAATCAGCACGAGCAGGTACGTCTCTCAACTCTGATCTTAGAATGATTCTCGCTTGAGGGTGAGCACTGGTGATGCTGATTTCATTTTGTTGATATTTTACTGTAGTGCGCTACATAGTTTATTCTCATCATTCCAAACTTTAGTTAAGTTATAAGTGTAGTAGGACAGATAAAAACAGAGCAGCACTGTGTACTGTTGTTAATTTCCAGCATGGTGCACTCTGAGTGCGGAGTGTAATCTGTCCGTTAATCCTCCATTTCCCCCCTTTTCTTATTCCAGAAATACAGAATGGAGATGTTAGTTTTTTTTTTAGCAAAAGTCAACTAATGTGATTAAAGCTTTGGAGGGTCAGTATTCTAAAAGCATTACAATGCTTCCCAAATTTTGCAATGCTAGTAATATTGGACTGACTTATTGGCTTGAAGGAAATTATCACTCAAAAGATGGATAGTGAAGATACTGAGAAAGATAGAGCTGCTAACTTTTTAATGTCTTACAATGACAGGTTTTTAAATGAGTTGTTTAGGAATAGAATCAACATCAATTATAAATTAGAATCATGATGGGCAAGTGAGGTCAGCTTGTAGAATGCCATGTATTGTGGTAGACTGAAGATTTAAAGAAAATCTTCTCAGTGGCACATAGTTTATGTTACAGAGCTTTTCCTCTTATCAGGGTTATTGTACATTTCAGCACTATAAGGGTAAATTTCCCTTCTTTCACTTCCCAGTCCCCCTTTGCCTATAGAAATACCTTGTCACCAGCTTTGGTGGATAGTTTTGTAATTCGAAGATTAGAGCATTTTCCCTGAATGATATGAATGGAGTGATGTCCGTTTTGAGAATTCTTTTAAATTTCATCTCACCAGTTAAATTGCACTATTGAAATCATTCTTAATGAACTAACTGCATTTTTTTTTTCAGATTATTAGAGGAAAAGAGAAAGTGTCTATACATTTTCTTTACTCTTTTCACTGACTTAATTTACTCATTTTTGCTATTCAGTTCTTTGATATTTTTAACACAAGTTTAGGAAGATTATTTTTCCCCCTTAGCTCCTACCTTGAATTTAATTTGGTCTCTGCATCTCTACCACTCTTTCTCACTTACCGAGTCTAGGCTCGTTCTAAATGGAAGAGGTGCTCATTGGTCTTCGTCCTCGGTAGCTAACCAGAAGGGACAGTCTCTCTCCTGAAATTATAGCTAATCTGACTTTATCTTCATTCTAGAAGTGGAATGGGTCAGCTCTCAAAACTGGTCCTTTAATTTGTTTTAGCTAAGCATGCCAGAGAATGGGTCGAAATGGTGCCTGTATTTTACATGGTGGTAAAGTATTCAGCTTTCGTCATTTGGGAAGATCCTGATATTCTGTTTTATGCGGGAAATTTTACATTTGGGCAAATTTTTTCTTAAATGGTGAAAAATTTTAATATTAAAGGCATTTCCCCTCTCCCTGACTTTCTGTTTTCTTAAATTATTTTCATTCACCTAATAGAAAGCACACTTAATATATCATCTAGTGAATACCCTAGGACAGTGGTCGGCAAACTCATTAGTCAAGAGAGCCAAATATCAACAGTACTTCTTCAAAATAGACTCGCCCAGGCCGAAAACTGACTTCTGCGCATGGGCCACGAAGTTTCAAATGCACTGTACGCGCGCCCACACGTGGTATTTTGTGGAAGAGCCACACTCAAGGGGCCAAAAAGCCGCATGTGGCTCGCAAGTCGCAGTTTGCTGACCACAGCCCTAGGATGTCATACATGGAGCATAAGAGCTATTTGAGTAAAAACCCATTAGTATGCTTTATGTTTACGGAAATTCTGGATAGCCTTTTTGTGTGCATCTAAAGACAATTTACATCTGTTGACCTACGCTCATTTTTTTAACATTTTTTTTGGTCTTAGTTGCCAATTAATGCCAGTATAATCCATTACTCTTTAACTCATAATGTTATTCACTAATTGGAATTTTATAATGATTCTATTAAAATAGTTTAAAAATCTTGAAACTCAGGAATGAATAACTAAATATCTCAGTAGTTGGACTAGGTCATCAGTAAAGTAATGGGAGAGGAATGGAAGGGCATTCAGAAATGGCAGAGCAGGTGCATGGTGGGAGGAGATGACATTGGGCTAGAAAGTTAGTCTCTAGTGTAGAAGGCGCTGCTGTGGCCTGTTTGACCTGGGGTACCTCAGTGAGCTTCCCTCTCACCTCTCGTGGCTGGGATCCAGGGACCCCAAGCAGTCTGCTTATCTCCTGAGCACTTGTCCCCGGGTTAGTCTCAGGTAAGCAGTGGAGCTGATGCCCATGCTCTTTCCATTACCATGTTGGAAAACAAATGCATTTTAAAAAGGCCGGAAAAAACCCCTGTTTATTAGACTTTATTTATTGGATGATCTTTAAAAGAACAGAGACAATCCTTTCTTTTGGCGAATATAACACGAATCTCTTCTCTCCTCTCAGATATGTTGAACTCTGAGCTAGTTAGTGTGTACCAGGTTCTAGAATAAATAATTGAGATAGCCTGTCATTGCTAAACCCTTAACTTTATAATAATGTCCACAGCACATGCTGGGGTGGGACAGGAGAGGGTGGTAACTCTGTCCCACAAAGGGAGTCTGAGCACCCACACTTTGCTCAAGTCTCCCACCTGTGTCCTGGGGGTCAATCACATTGGATTGGGCATTTTAGATTTGGCCTTTGATGTGCGAAGGAGTCATTAAAATCTAGCCTGCTAGATAGAGTAAGTGCTGTAAAGCTCGTAACAGTACTATAAAGAGTAAGTAGCTACTATATTCATAACAATCATCATAAAATAAAGTTCAGCGATTTTTTGAATCTACCAAATGCCAGAGTAGAAAATGCAGTAAGTCCCAGTCCTTGCCCTTAAGATGTTCATAGTCTTGCAAGGGAAATGATAAACAAATCAATAACATAACAAGTTCATATTATGAGAAGATAAGCTCAGAGGAAAGGCACATCAATTCAGCTGATGGTGTCGGCAGGAAGGACTATTGGGCATAAATAGCATTTGTGCCTTAAGGGTTGGCTGTCCAGAGAGCAGTTTTCATCTGTTTCATTTGCTTCACAGAAACCCTATTAAGTTAAAAATGGTTTTATACTCATTTTAATAGATAGGAATGCGGTGAGCTTAGGTCATTAAATGTTAGTTTTAGAATTAAGATTTCATTTTGACCAGGCCCTGTGACTTCATAGGGCACACCTTTTTTCAGAGTATCTTCTGATAGTGCTTACATGGAGACATTCCGACTTCATCTGAGCACAGCAGGTCCGAGCTGCGGGATTGGTGGGAAACGGGCAGAGAGCCCGTGCCATTGACAGAATGCCTCCCCTGGAGCTCTGCTCTTCACTATGTAGAGACACTGGGGAGGTGATGTGAACATGTGAGACATGTGAACAGCTTCTCTCCCTCCGCTAGCCATGGTCGGGTGACGCCGGGCCAGCCTCGCAGGACAGGGCTCTGCCTGCCTCTATGGCTGCCCTGGAAAATGAGTGCACAGGCTACTCAGTTTAACACGTGAAGCGCACAGCCTGTTGTGTCTTCTGGACGGAAAGTATAGTGCCAGTCACCAATGACTGACTGGGCACTTGACGTGTTAAAATAGATGCTGTGACAATGTATAGGATATAGCTAGAGCTCCTAATTTTTCCTGCAGCCTTGCCTGAGAAGAACTGATGTTACAGTTGCCCTGTACGAACGTAAACTCTTTTACCAAACTGTGGGTTCAGCTCCTCTGGGCCTTTCTTTCCGTCATTTGCAGCTTTAGTAGTTTTTATGTTGTGCTTTGATTATTTTCTCTATAAAATCTAATGATTAAAGATAGCAGTGCCAGTGCCTGTTCTGATTTACTGCTCTCTGGTTTTGAGTTGATTCAAGACTTTGGCTTTCATTGTCAGTACGAAAATCCATCTGGCTGGAAATCTGCGCGTGGGGAGCTTTGTTCATCTCTGGAATACAGTAAACTGCTAAGTGATTTTCATTTCAAACACTTCCCATATGTTATGTTTATATATTTACATCTCATTTTTGGCCTTAATTTTTCTTTGAAGAAGTTTTATTACTTGCCTCTTTGTTCTTCCTTAGACATAGTAGACAGAAAACTTACCTTTTTCATTTCCATTTTCTTTTCTTTTTGGCTCATAGTAGGTAAGGACTAGTGTTGTTAGATGGATGAGTCAATGAGGGATGAGTAAGAAGATGACCATTCAGGTGCTGAATGTTGGTACAATTCACAGCTGATTCCACAGCCTCACTACTGTGAGCTCCTTAACATAGATTCTGCATACGCGCTGCTTCCATGGGGTCTAACATGGGGCTTGGCATGTTAAATGTTAATAAATGTTTGCGGAATGAATACACTTTTGAAAGGTGGTTTTATGTTGTCAGAGGCAGGGGCTTCACTATATTTAGCTTCTAGCCATTAAAAAAAAACAGATAAAAATTCTTACATGTGAAGAAAATGCTGGTTTAGCCATCACAGCCTTTCTATACAAAATCTATAACTGTTTCTTGGGACATCCTTCTCCAGGTGACCATGACGCTAAAGTGAGGGCACCTTAGGCTGTTTGCAGACATGTGGTAGCAGGTCATACAAAGAGGGGTAACATGGAGATTCTCTTCAGAACACACATTGATGAGTCCCCTGCTTTGCTCTGCTGGGTCATGGGAGCTTGGTGATCTGCCCTCCAAGCACCAGCCTACTGAATGTGTACCACATGTCTAAAGCATGGCCAGCTCACAGTTCTCTGTCTACAGAGCGTGTGTCATATGTCTAAAGCATGGCCAGCTCACAGTTCTCTGTCTACAGAGCGTGTGTCACATGTCTAAAGCATGGTCAGCTCACGGTTCTCTGCAGAGTCCTCGGAGTTGAAGGCTGATGAGGTCAACCAGGACAATCTATTTCTTCCCTTAGTATATAAACTTAGCCTTCCTCTCCCTCCCCCAAATAAATGTAGTCTTTTATGGTAAAGTTTAAAGAATTAGATCTTTTGTTCTCAGGGACTACTCTGAGTGACTTATTATAGTAGTATGCCGGGAGCCGGTCCATACTTCCTGTTTCAAGGGACCTGGCATATATGGCATACTGTTCTTAATATGTTTGCTCACCTTCTTGGCACTATGTGTTTTAACCAAGGTCTCTGAGAAAGGTTGTTTCCCCAGGTAGGGATTTTCCCCTGAAGTTAGGGAGGGAATAAAACCTCTTAACTAAGTGCCAGGTGGGTAATTAATCACTTTAACTACGAACAATCATGCTTAAGCTACATAATCTTTACTCCCTGGAATGGAGATAAGAAACGCCCTAACCTTTGTAATAGAGATTGATAGGATTGAATCAACTGGTATAAATACAGATGTAATAAGACAGCAAGACACAGAACTTAGAATACGGAACCAAGAGAGAGAGAACCTAGGGACAGAACCTACACAGAACGTTCTCTACAGACAGAAGAACTTCGCTGGAGAGAACATGGCAAAAGATCCTGGACAGAAACTGGCCTCAGAACCTAGAGACAGAACCTATCGAGAGAACATGGCAAAAGATCCTGGACTGAACCTGACTACAGAAATTGGCAAGAGAACCTGACTAGAACCTGGTAACTGAACCTGGCTGGAGAACCTAGCAAGGGAACATGGCTACAGAACCTGGCTGGAGAACCTGGAGAACCTAGCAAGAGAACAAGGACACAGAACCTGGCTGGAGATCCTAACCAGAACTTCGCTGGAGATCCTGAGCAGAACTTGGCTGGAGATCCTGGCTAGAGGTCCTGGCTAGGCTGCTGATCAACTGAACACTGTCTCTGTGTCCTTCCTTCTTCGCTGACGCCGTCCACACCTTTGGGGACCCCTGGACCCGCTGGGGCCGGACCCCGGCAGTAGTAGAGGGTAGGAAGTTCTTTCAAGCCATGGAAAGAAATAGCAATTTTAATAGTGTCAATAGCCACTGATAAATTGCTAATAGCATATATATGTTTACAGTGTTATATTAGGTGAAAGCATATCTCTCTATCTCTCTATCTCTATCTCTATATATCCATATATCTATATCTATCTATATCTAATTGATTTCAGAGAGGAAGAGAGAGGGAGTGAGATAGAAACATTAATGATGAGAATCACTGATCCGCTGCCTCCTGCATGCCCCTTACTAGGGATTGAGCCTGAAACCCAGGCATGTGCCCTGACTGGGAATCCAACCTTGACCTCCTGGTTCATGGGTCAATGCTCAGCCACTGATCAACACTGGCCAGGCATGAAAAGCATATTTGACTTAAGTATAGCATCACTTTTTTAGCCTGAAGATTTCAGATAAATGCCCAAATGATTCTTATTTTGGGACCGGTCTTTTTCTGTACTATTGTAATTCTAAAGATTAAGTAATTAACTGGGAGCCAAGAGGGAGTCTGATAGTGGTGTAATTGCAGTTGTTTTAGGATATTTGAGAGATAATGATGTGTCCTTGCATCCACAAAGGTGGATAGAACATTATGTTGCCGTGAGATTAGAACATGAATGGACTCAGTTTAAAGATTGCATGCTTATATACTTAACTTAGTAGACTTTTAGTCATAGACAGAACTGGATTGCTTGGAGGTTGTGGAGTCCAAGCTCAGAGCCATGGAAGCCGAGCCTGAAGGGGTTGCTCAGTGACAGTGGCCGGGGTCGGACTGGTGTTCCCAGGGGCTCGGCTGTCCTCCTGTCTGTCAGGGCGAGTGGGTGTGAGTGTGTGCAGAATCAGTCGTTAGTGTATCTTGCTTCCATTTGTGTTAGTTGTATACTTGCTGTCTTACTGGTCTCGTGCATACTGTTTTCTTCAAATTCAGTCCCAACACCCAATGTGCACATTTTAAGTGTAAGAACAGTTGCTTTTCAAGCGTAAAGAGAAGAGATTTTAACCAGGTGAATGGAGAGGTCAAAGGGAAGCAGCGCCTTGATGATGGTCTCATCCCTTTCTCACACTGTGGACTCAGCAAGTCATGTGCATGTTTTCCCATGTAGCCAGGGTACGATGACCTCAATCCCGACTGGACACTCTCCACAGAGAAGAGGAAAAAAGTCAAAGGTGAGTCCGGTAAAATATGATATTTAAACACCTTAAGAGACTCCGATTGTATAGTAAAGGTGCTCTTTAGATGACGTGATGTATGTAGGGGAGGGAACAAATCTTTTTCTTTTCTTCCTCTTGGGTTTTTACTGAGCCCTGAAAATTAGACGAAAGACAGAGTAGCAAGAGGAAAACAAGTAGAAGCCCAGTAGCATGCATAGGGAGCGTGCCCGTGGGAGCACCCCCAGATGAGGAACTCCAAGGGTTGGTTGGAAATCGTGCTTCTGTAGCGTCTTAGAAAAGGGACAATGCATTTTAGAGAAGTGACAAGACAAAGGAAAAGAACTTTGAGTTTCTTGAGTTCCTTCAGCTTAAAGTATTTATGTCGAAGTGGCGTGTTTTGGGTCTGCCCTTACCCTGATCCCCTTCCAAGTGTGAGAGGCAGTCAGCATTGAAACCCATCGTACATTTGCCTTGTATTTTTAAAAAGGGTATAATTCTCATATTACTGTTTGTCTGAAAAGTGATGTATGAATATTTTCCAAAATATTTTATAACCTTGATGATTTGTGCACTTTGTACGCACCTACCTTTTAGTTTGTTATGCTGAAAATGTGAAATAGAGTGCTGTATGTTTCATTTTCTGAGAGGAACTCTGCATCCCTGTAATTTTGAACTTTGGCAAATTCTTGGCACTCAGGTGTTTATTAAATAAGCTAGAGGCCCAGTGCATGGAAATTCATGCAAGAGTAGGCCTCCCTTCTCCCAGCTGCCAGCACCGGCTTCCCGCTGGCACCGGCTTCCCTCCGGCACCTGGGACCCGGGCTGCTTCCCTCTGACTGCCACTGGCAGGCACCCGGGACCCAGGTTGCTTAGCTCGGGCCCCGGCTTCGTCCGGAAGGACATCCGGAATGACGCCCGAAAGGACATTTGGTCTGATTAGCATATTACCCTTTTAATATTACAGATTACCATTTTGTTAGAATTAGAGTGATGACTTGTAATTCATTTGTTCTCATTATTTGCCATATCTTTAGCGCCCCAGTCTGGTGGTTAAGTTGGTTATTGGACCAGGTGTGTGGTAGCGAGCCCACACTGGCAGGTGCATGAGCATGGGTTCCCTTTTCCCCCTTAGATAAAGAGTCCTTGTACCCGCTTGTCGATGTGAATTGGTGGGCGGACAGTGCCGTGATCTTGGCTCGCTGCTCAGGGGCTTTGACTGTTTCCTCCGTGAAAACTTTGAAGAATCTACTGGGAAAATCCTGTGAGTGGTTTGAACTGGCACCTCAAGTCACCGCTGCCCACGACGGGGGATTTTTAAGTTTGGAGGTAATGCTTTCCTTCCAGAGCCCCTGTGTGCTTGAAAGAAAACATGAATTTCACCCACAACCTAAAGCTCTGTATTTGTTAACCCTCACCTGAGGACATTTTTCCATTGATTTTTAGAAAGAGAGGAAGGGAGGGGGAGAGAGAGAGAAACATCGATGTGAGAGAGATACATCGATTAGTTGCCTCCTGCAGGCACCCTGAGGAGGGCTAGGGATCAAGCCTGCAACTGTGGTACATGCCCTTGACCGGAGTTGAACCTGGGACCTTTCAGTCCACGCTTTCTACCCACTGAGCCAAACTGGCTAGGGCAAGATCTGGTCTTTTTGTTGTTGTTTTTCTAATTTGTTATCCCATTTTCTAATTTTGGCTTTAAGAACAAAAGTCTGTGATTGGAATCACAGATTGAGTGCAGTAGAAAAAAGATCCATTGTTTAGTCAATTAAAATTTTTGCATTGTAGAAGAATGAGGAAAATGGATAATCATTTTGCTATCTATAACTATTTTTTCTTCACTGACATGATAGATTTTTTCTTTTTTTCTAGATTAATCATTTTAAAATGTAAAAGTTATTGCTACCTAAGAAATATAGACTTTAACCTATTTCTATGAATATGACAATTTTAAAAAATTGTTTTTTTCAGTAAGAAAAGCTTGTTTATCATGACAAAAGACTGGAAAATCGAGGCTAGTATTTAAAGTTAAGTCTTGGTCATTTAAAATTGTGATTGTAAGTCTTTGAAGGCTAGCATCCTTCAATAGCTTTTACTTCGATGTAGATGGACAAGTATTTTTCGCCTCAAAGTTTGTTACGCAGTCTGTTATTTGGAGAGAATTAAGGCCTAGCTTCTAAGCCAACTCTGTTAAGTCTGAAATGAAAGTTATCTTTACCAGTCAGGCTTCCAGACTCAGAACTTTGTGAAGCTCCTGGACACTTTTCTCAGTCGAGGAGATACATACGTTCATGTTCCTTTTCTAAATAGATAAGACAAATCATCGTCTTACTTCTCCACAGCTGGTATGAAAATAGCAGCAGTGAAGAAATTAACATTCTCGACTCCTTCATGTCCCTAGAATAATCACCAGGCGTGTATGCACGAGCTCACCCTGATGACTTATTATTAAAGCGGGCTTTGGTTCGGAGGTCAGCAGCCAGCAGTGCATTGGGCGCTCCTGGAGCTGTTGACGTAGACCATGTTTGTTGTTGGGTGCCTTTGAGTTCCATTTTTAGTGTTAATCACACGCCTGATGAAAGGAATCAAACGAGAGTAGAATTAAAAGTGTTTTTCTCGTTAACGCCAACACTTGTCTTTGGTTCCTCACTATTAGTTTAACATGTCTCTGTACCGTTCAGTGTGAGATCAAACTTGCCCCCAAACGCTCTCGTTTGGAGACGAGGGGTGCAGAAGACGACGAAGGGGAGGAGGACACCGACTCTGATCAGGAAGTGTCTGCCAAGGCTCGCTACTTCGGTTACATCAAACAGGGCCTGTACCTGGTGACCGAGATGGAGCGGTTTGCCCCGCCACGGAAGCGCCCGCGGGCCATCACCAAGCACTACCGCCTCGTGAGCCTGCGCTCCACCACGCCCGAGGAGCTGTACCACCGCAAGGTGAGCCACCCTACGCCGTGCTCGGGGAGCCCGAGTTCACCGAGGGGATTGAGACCAAAACCTCTTTCTTTTTTTTTTTTAATATATTTTATTGATTTTTTACAGAGAGGAAGGGAGAGAGATAGAGAGTTAGAAACATCGATGAGAGAGAAACATCGATCAGCCGCCTCCTGCACATCTCCCACTGGGGATATGCCCGCAACCCAGGTACATGCCCTTGACCGGAATCAAACCTGGGACCTTTCAGTCCGCAGGCCGACGCTCTATCCACTGAGCCAAACCGGTTTCGGCAAAAACCTCTTTCTTTAATAAAGGAAGGAATTTAAAGAGGAATTGTTGTGCCCTGGTTGGCTTTGCTCAGTGGTTAGAGCACCGGCCCTCGTTTTGAAGGGTTGTGAGATCAATTCCGGTCTAGGGCCTGTACCTGTGTTGCAGGTTCAATGTCTGGCCCTAATAGGGCAGAGTGCGGGAGGCAGCTAATTGATTTGTCTCCTTCACATCAATGTCTCTCTCTCTCTTTCCTCTCTTCTCTTCCCTCCCCACCTTCTTTCCACTCTCAATGGAAAAAAATATCCTCGGGTAAGGATTAAAAGAAAAAGGGTGGGGGGTGTTATATTATCAACATGTTTAAATCATCAGTAGTATTTAACTTTTGAAAATAATGCAGGTCTTTGTGCCTGAGTCCTGAAAATAAAAGTGATGAAAGATGAATCACTTAGCCTGTCCACGCTGTGGCTGAGCCCGGGATGCTGCTGCCCCTCCCGTGGCCTGTGTGGGTCCCTGCAGCCGTGTCCTCAGGCTCCAGGTGGTGCGGGGGACCTGCTCGTGCTCTTTCTCACGGGCTCTGCGTGGAGGCAGAGGGGGCCGCACAGGTGCTCCCAGCGGCGCTGCTGCTGAGGGACCTGGGCCAGCCCTGCACCAGCGCAGGCTGCGGGCCCCGTCCCTCCGGGTTTGCTCTGGGAGCGTGGGCATTCCTCCTCTTCCCTCCGCTTGTGTGAAAGCGCTCAGTCAACGCTGGGTCCGTCTGCCGTGAGACTGGTTAGGAATGCTGACCAGGTTAGGGGCGTTCATCACTCACCACATCATCCCCGTGACCCGGGGCAGCTCGGTAACGCTCCTGTGTCCCTTTCCTTGTCCGAAGATTGAGAGTGAAGAGTATGAGGAGGCCTTGTCTCTGGCGCAGACCTACGGCCTGGACACTGACCTCGTGTACCAGAGGCAGTGGAGGAAGTCGGCGGTCAACATCGCTTCCATTCAGAACTACCTGGTAGGTTTCAAGATCTTGGTAAGGTGGTAATATTCCAACTTATGGAACATTTTTTGGCTAAAGGGCTGCATATGAGAGTACTTTATATTGCTGACTTCTCTGAAGCTGATGAAGTATGTTTTACTCAACCCAGAAAAATGACCTTGTTACCCTTTTTTATTGGCCCTGTTGCTGGACTTTGGTGCTGGAGACACAGGAATGAATATTTACTGATAAACCAGCCGACTGCCTGGTTTTGTGCTAATCCTTCCTCCTCATCTACCTCAGTTACTTCTCTTTACCTGTATCAGTCAGGGCCCCACCAGGAGCCAGAACCCATACAGTAATTAGGGCAGGGAAAGTGTGAATGTGAGAATTATTTTACAGTAACAACAGATTAACTATAAAGGGGTAAAGAGGACGTCAAGGAATTCCTTCCACCTAGGGCTGAAGGAGCGTACCCAGGGGGCAGGGGAGGTGGGGCGGCCTCGGAAGGGAGGCTCCTCCCCGGCAGGGGTCCAACCCTCTTTGGACAAGGAGTGGGTGCAGCACACTGGACAGAATTGCAGTCCTCCGGATGTTGTGGGCCAGGATTGCTCCTCAGATGCTGAGCTCGCTTCATAATTGCACAAGCTGGCAGGCAGAAAAAGGCGGGGTGGATGGGCAAGCCGGGTGCCTCTTGCTGGGGTACGTCAATGAGTGGGGATTGGAAAACCCTAGAGCAGGGGTCCTCAAACTACAGCCCGCGGGCCACATGCAAATACTAATATTGTATTTGTTCCCGTTTTGTTTTTTTACTTCAAAATAAGATATGTGCAGTGTGCATAGGAATTTTTTTTTTATTAAATCTTTATTGTTCAGATTATTACATTTGTTCCTTTTCCCCCCCCCATAACTCCCCTCCTTCCAGTTCCCACCCCACCCTCCGCCCTCACTCCCCACCCACTGTCCTCATCCCTAGGTGCACGATTTTTGTCCAGTCTTTTCCCGCATCTCCCACACCCCTTTCCCCCCCAAGAATAGTCAGTCCATTCCCTTTCTATGTCCCTGATTCTATTATAATCAACAGTTCATTCTGTTCATCAGATTATTTATTCACTTGATTCTTAGATTCACTTGTTGATAGATGCATATTTGTTGTTCATAATTTGTATATATTTGTTCATAGTTTTTTTTTAAACTATAGTCCGGCCCTCCAACGGTCTGAGGGACAGTGAACTGGCCCCCTGTTTAGAAAGTTTGAAGACCCCTGCCCTAGAGACTGGCAAGCAAGAAACCCGCCATCAGCACTTTTTCAGCTCAGGGCTGGTAGATAGGAGCCATGTCTAGGACTGAAAAGAAAAAACTCCCACTGGAGTGGGCGGGCATAGTCTGGGAGGCTTCCTCCTCGCTGGGAAGTGAAATTCAATGAGAGGTGGTGCTGGGGACAGTGAAGGGGGAGTGGAGCCTCTGTATAATGGGTTTTTCTATGAGGAAGCTTGTTATCTGACTGAGAAGACAAGCATCATGCCCAAGATATAAATAACTGCACAGAAGATTCCATGTAAGTACTGTGGGAACCCAGTGAGGGAGCGGTCATTACAGACCCAGTGGTTATTGGAGGCTTTAGCTAGTGAAGACGTTTTGAGCAGGGATGAGAAAGGACTCAAAGTAGGCCTTCCAGAGATGGGAGAGGGACCACATTCTTAATGAGACACATGTCTGAGCAAATTAGAAGAACATGAGCATGATTCATGAGGCCAGTGACCACATCTGTCTTAATCATTGCTGTGTCCTCCAGTCTAGTCCAGTGCCTGGCAGTAAATATTTCTTGGATGAATAATGAGCTCTGTTAGTAAACCAGTCTGCTGGGTCTGATGGTCCGCAAGAGGGAACACTGTGAAATGTGATTAGAAAGACACATTGGTTTGGGTTTGGGGGGCTGTTGAAAGCGCATGATGACTTAGGCCTTGCGTCTTCTGGGGGTGGAGGATGATTGTGGCGGTCTGACTGTGGAGGTGCAGGGGAAGGTGGTGTAGAAGGTGAACTGGAGTGGAAGGAGCAGGTGGGGGAACCCTGCAATGGGTGAGGACTCCTGCAGTGTCGCAGGTGTTGGGTGTTGATGACAGCCACTGGAATGCAGGCCACAGACACGGAGAAGGGGAAATGAATTCAGAGACATTTAAAGAAAGAATTGATATGCTAGAATGTGTAAAAGAATATAGGGTACGAGTTGGATCTTCAAATTTGTAACACTAATGAGTTTTTCTATGAAGAGGGCAAGTCAAGGGTTTTGAATGGAGTCAGAGGAAGCAGTTGGGAGGGAGGAATAGGCCCTTGGTCTTTCCAAAGAACAGCATGATATGACTTCTGTGATTCAGTTATCATCCATACTTAGTGACACATCTCATGGTCAAATAGACACAGAACCTCGATGTGCTCTGCCTCATTAGATTTGTTTCAAAGTTACGCACGCTGGTTCCATCTTATCTGGGCTTTCTGCTTTATTTTATTTTATTTTTTTTTAATATATTTTTATTGATTAAGATATTACATATGTGTCCTTGTCCCCACGTTACCCTCTACCCCCCACGCCCCCCACCCCCGCTCATGCCCTCACCCCCCCGTTGTCCATGTCCATTGGTTAGGCCTATATGCTTGCATATAAGTCCTTTGGTTGATCTTTCCCCCTTACTCCCACCCTCCCCTACCTTCCCTCCAAGTCCCGACAGTCCAATCAATGCCTCTCCGTCTCTGGATCAGTCCTTGTTCATCAGCTTATGTTGTTCATTATATTCCACAAATGAGTGAGATCCTGTGGTATTTATCCGCTCTCAAGTTCCATCCATGCTGTGGCAAATGGTAAGCGTTCCTTTTTCTTCTTCCTCTTCTTAAAGAATACCTTTCAGCATTTCATATAATGCTGGTTTGGTGGTGATGAACTCCTTTAGCTTTTTCTTATCCGTGAAGCTCTTTATCTGACCTTCTATTCTGAATGATAGCTTTGCTGGATAAAGTAATCTTGGTTGCAGGTTCTTGCTATTCATCACTTTGAATATTTCTTGCCACTCTCTTCTGGCCTGCATGGTTTCTGTTGAGAAATCAGCTGACAGTCGTATGGGTACTCCCTTGTAGGTAACTGACTGTCTTTCTCTTGCTGCTTTTAAGATTCTCTCTTTATCTTTTGCTCTTGGCATTTTAATTATGATGTGTCTTGGTGTGGTCCTCCTTGGATTCCTTTTGTTTGGGGTTCTCTGCGCTTCCTGGACTTGTAAGTTCATTTCTTTCACCAGGTAGGGGAAGTTTTCTGTCATTATTTCTTCAAAAAGGTTTTCAATATCTTGCCCTCTCTCTCCTTCTGGTACCCCTATAATTCTGATGTTGGTACGCTTGAAGTTGTCCCAGAGGTTCCTTACACTATCTTCATATTTTTGGAATCTCTTTTCTTTTTTCTTTTTCGGTTGGGTATTTTTTGTTTCTTTGTATTTCAAATCTTTGACTTGATTCTTGGGATCCTCTTTTCTGCTGCTGGATCTCTGTAAATTATTCTTTATTTCAGTCAGTGTATGCTTAATTTCTAGTTGGTCCTTTTTCATGTCCTCCATGGTCTCCCTATATTTATTGAGGGATTCATTAAATTTATCGGCGGTTTCCATAAAGTTCTTGAAAAACCTTATAACCGTGGCCTTAAACTCTATATCCAATCGTTTGCTTTCCTCCATTTCTGCCATTTGTGACCTGTTTCTTTGTCTCCGCATTTTGGTTGCTTCCCTGTGTTGATAGAGTGGCTTTGTGTGCTAGGTGTCCTGTAGGGCCCAGTAGCTCAGCCTCCCCAGTTACCTGAGGTGGACACTCTTGGTGCACCCCCTCGTGGGCTTTGTGCACAGTCTTGTTGTAGCTATGCCTTGGTTGTTGTAGGATCACTGGGAGGAATTGACCTCCAGGGCAATTGGCAGCGAGAATCAGCTGCCCTGATGATGCTCAGCTGTGTAGCAATGCAAGCCGCTGTGGGGCCTGGGCCTTCTCTTGGAAGTTCTGAGTCTATCTGGCCCGGCTGCGGTTAGGTAATTACAGGTTGCAAATGGCTGGGGCATTCATATGCAAAAGCCTCTGCCGCAGCCTGGGTGGGGCGGGGTCTCAAGGAATCAAAGGGCTGAGAAAGCAGCTATGGCGGAGCCTCAGCCCTGCCCTAAGGAGTCGCGAGTCCCAGTGTCCCGGCAACGGCTGCAAGCACCTCTGAGGGAAAGCCGCTCTCAAGCTCGCCCGCTGCCAGACAGTCCAGTATCTCCCCGTATGAGCCCTGGGTCCCCAGAGACTTCCCGGAACCGGATTTCAGAGCCGTCGGGAGCTTGTGTCTCCCTCCGGATTCAAAAAGACAGCCGTGTCCTCAGGTGCCAGACCCTTTCCGCGCGAGCCCCCGTACCTCTGCACGCCACCTCCGCAGCTCCTTCCGCTGGCAGTGTGCTTTTCTCTCCTTCTAGTTGTAGAATTTACACTCAGCCAGCCCTCCTGTAGCTCTGGATGATGTCCACCTTGTGTTTTTGATGCATTTATCGATTGTTGTGGGAAGCAGAAATTTCCCGGTGTTTATCTATGCCGCCATCTTAGTTTCTCCTTTCTGCTTTATTTTCTACTCTATTATATAGCCCCAGTGAAAAGTAGAAAACAACTATAAATGTTTGGAAAGTTTTTTCTTTTCTGTTTCCAAAAATGAATATTTAGCTTTGTGTTTCATTAAAAGAAGAAAGACAGCAGTTGGAACCACATTCGCACCATTGAATTCTAATCATCACTGGGGAGTGGGAATTACCTTGATTCTATTGACCCTCTCCAGCAGCTGCCTAGGCTCCTTGAGGTATAGCTTTACAGTTCTAGATGGCAGCTGTCGGCTGCTAATGGATGGTCTGTGTTGATTGATGGCTCTGTGTTTCATTTTCTTTGCATCCAGAGTAAAATAAAGAAACGGTCCTGGGTTCTTCATGAGTGTCTGGAAAGAGTTCCTGAAAACGTAGACGCTGCGAAAGAGCTGCTGCAGTATGGACTGAAGGGCACAGACCTGGAGGCGCTCTTGGCAATAGGGAGAGGAGTGGATGAGGGCAGGTTGGTGACAGAAGGATTGGGGCGCAGAAGGGCAGCTGACGTGAATGCTTTTAAGCTGAGACATTGGGAAGGGTAAACATTCCTCTATTTAGGTTATTCTGTGATGAAGCAGTTGCCTTTGATCAATGTTGTCTTATTTGAGGTCCCAGTTGTCTTTTCTCTTAGTGAAATGTATTTACATATGATAGCCTGATGATAGGAAAAGAGCAGATGCTACAAACATTTACCGAACACTGGCCACTTCTAAGCTCTGGGCTTAAGGCACATACCTAGTGTGCCAATAAGGCCAACGAGCCCCCTTAGGCAAGTATGAGCTTCATTCACTTTCTTTTTTTAAATAAATATATTTTTATTGATTTCAGAGAGGAAGGGAGAGGGAAAGAGAGAGAAACATCAATGATAAGAGAGAATCATTGATTGGCTGCCCTCTGCACGCCCCATGCACTGGGGATTGAGCCTACAACCCAGGTATGTACCCTGACCAGGAATTGAACTGTGACCTCCTGGTTCATAGGTCGGTGCTCAACCACTGAGCCATGCCAGCCGGGCTCATCCACTCTCTTTATCTGTGACATCATACCGGCCTCCCAGAATCACCTGGAGTGATGAAACTGTATATCTGGTGGAAGCACCTCATAAACCTTTAAGCCCCGTACAAATGTCAGTTCATAGTAAAATAAAGTGATTTGCTGAGAGCCATTGCTCACCAGACATTTGGAACATTTTTGTGAGATATAAATGCCATAGGATATCTGATACATAAATAACGTAAAGGAGACCTACATTCATTATCATTCTGAGACCTTAAATAGAAGTGATTCAAATTGTAAACTTGGGCACCATTTTCTTCATAGGCTGTTTCACATTGGGTGCATTTTTTTCCTAAGTAGTTTTTATTTTCTTGATTTTAAAAATTTCTCGATGTGCTGATCACTGATAACCTGGTGGCATTTTCCATCCCTAGGGGTATAACCAGTGAGCAACTTTGTTACAATGGCAACAGCTTTCTTTCCAGTGAGGAGTTGTTTCCATGGAAATCCAATTAATGATAAAGTCAGTCACTGAAGGGAAGAGTGGGTTTTCACTACATGAAATTAAAAAAAAAAATCAAAATAGATGTGTGTTTTCTTTCCCTGCAGATTCACATTACCTGGTGAGATAGACATCGAGGGCATCTCCTATGAGGAGCTCTTGCCTGAGGACGAGCCCGCCCAGAATGCAAAGGAGAAGGAGCGCAGGAGGAGAGGAGAACTGCTTCGCTTAGTGCACTTTTCAGAGTAAGGGGTGTATTGCTGCTGCTTTGGCAATTTCTCTAAAAGAATGAGTCACCTAACTCTGTCCTTTGCTGGCGATAATTGCTCTAAATGGTTTCAGCAACTTGCATCAAGTGCATTTCATATTTTACCTTTGTGCTTTTGTCTGCTATTTCATGAATTGGGGGCTCAATAGAATATAGATCTTTTTTATTTTAACCGTTAAAGAAATGTGCTTTTTTGGTAACTAAGTGGCCTGATTTATTCATTCGAAACAGATTAACGCTGGAACAGAAGGAACTCTGCCGTTGTAGACTGAAATTATTAACCTACTTAGACCGGCTGGCCACCTATGAGGTAGGGGCTAGTTTTAATAAGCCAGTTATGTTTATTTGGTCTGTCATTACAAATGCTGTGGCTTCTCTGACACCTGACATTCTTGGTCTTTAGAACTACTGAGGTGGGAAAAGTTCATTATGTCCAGAAACAGGTTCTCTTGTGTACCAGTTTTGGTAAAGTTCAAGGGTGTGAAGGGCCAGAGTGATGTTGTTAGTCTAGGGAACGGAAGTGCTTTAGCCACGTCACTCTATCTGTTCCCTGCATCTATAGTCCTTTCACTTACTTTCATTTTACATTTCAATTTTAAGGTTATGGAATACAACTGTCTCCAGTACATTTCAGTATATATTATGTTTTAATAATCCTAACGTGAATATTTTATTTTAATGATTTGTTAGTAGGTTGAACTTAGTTAATTGAACTTGGATCCAGTTATGGCCCAAATTAGGCACTTGAACTTGAAAAAGGAGACATATCTGTTTCTTCAGGTACACACACGCAGAGGTCTCCACGTTGGCCGTTTCAGTGGCACTCTGTACTGCAAGGCCAGTTCAGGTGCTGTTAAAAGTGAGAGAAACATTTCAGGACATCCCCAGCTCAGCTTGCTCTCCCACGTGCCCCCACAGCTGAGGTTACCCAGGATTTCCTACATTTCTAACCGTGGAAGCGTGGCTTCACTTGCAGGTTACTTTCTCAGCCTATGTATGTCTCCTCTCTGGGTATACCTTTACTGACCCTTGGGACTGGCACATAGTAGGCACTCAGGATGTCACACCCAATGATGTGATGCCTAGCCCCAGAATAATGGAGGTGTTTAGTCCTTCTGATGCCTGAAGGCAAATCCCAAAGCATTTGATTCCCTGCCTGCTAATATGATGGAAATGCTTTTAGACAAAATACTAGTGACAAAAGAGGGCTATTTCTGCGCTTATTAAAAATCATAGCAATGGGTATATCATTTCACACGAACAGGTTACAAAAACTTCCTAATCTATCATACAGCCAGTTTGAATGTTGGAGGATCATATTTTTAAAAGCATATCATCTTAATTATATCTGGGCTCTGTGATATTTAATATATATAATATATATAAAAAGCATGATGTGAACTGCGGAAGTCAGTATAAGATATAGTTTATCATTCTTGTATTGTTAGCCCTCATTTTACCAATGATAAGATCTTAAAAAGAAAAGTTCCAGTTACTTTTTTCATTATTTTTTAGTTATTGAATTGCTTTTTCCTGTTTGACAGTAGAAAGGACATTTATTATTACACGGTAATAGTGATATATTTTTTTTTTTAAATATATTTTATTGATTTTTTACAGAGAGGAAGGGAGAGAGATAGAGAGTTAGAAACATCGATGAGAGAGAAACATCGATCAGCTGCCTCCCGCACATCCCCTACTGGGAATATGCCCACAACCCAGGTACATGCCCTTGACCGGAATCGAACCTGGGACCTTTCAGTCCGCAGGCCGACGCTCTATCCACTGAGCCAAACCGGTTTCGGCGGTAATAGTGATATTTAAAGTATTTGTTAAACCCACTGTTTAAGGGAATTAAACTAAGCTTTTGACAAATAAATAAAGTTGAATTTGGCTGTTGAAGCTTAGAAATGGAGATATCCTCCCATATAATAAAAGCCTAATATGCAAATAGACCGAATGGCGGAACAACCAGTTGTTATGATGCACACTGACCACCAGGGGGCAGATGCTCAATGCAGGAGCTGCCCCAGCCCGCAGGCCCCAGGCCAGCCAAGGCCGGTGCCAGCGGGGGGCCCCCCCAATTGCCCTGCCAGTTGCCCCACTGAGGGAGGTGACCAGTGGTGGTGGCAGGGGGCAGGGCCGGCCAGCAAGCGGTGCTGGGCCAGCCAAGGCGGGTCCAGCGGGCCCCTCCCCCCCCCCATCACCCCGCTGGTTGCCCTGCAGATCGGCCTTGATTGTCGGCCAGGCCTGCCTCTAGTACAGGTATAATGGCTAATAAGTAGATAGTGCTAGAGACAGACATTGCATTTTCATCGTAGGGCATGGCTTATTTTATTAATTCTGTGATAGATGAGATGAAAATGGACTCATTTGCACTTTATTCAAGTGCCTACAACATGCCAGATATTAAGCCAGTGCTGGAGGTTGAGAGATGACAAAGGAACAATACTTCACTAGCTAGGAAATAACTGATGATAATGAAGGTGTGAAACGTTGATGAGGGAGCCTAATGGAGAAGAATGTTACATTTTTCCTGGAGATGTCCGAGGCGACACTACATCGGGAGAAATGGGAGTCTTGTTTCAACTAGTCCTGAATACAGGAAGGCAGGTTTAGGGGCTGCGGGATGCGAGAATGGAGGCTCCGTAGAGGTAGGGGTTTGTGTTTGCTGCAGTCCCCAGCTTGGAATGATGCCTGGTTTGTTGAGGAGCTCAGTAAATATTTGTTGAGGGGTCCAGTAGGGAAGAGACTATCTTAGATATACCCACACATTTGCTGAGGACCTTTGTCGTTGGTATCTTATGTACGGAATCCAGATAGTTTCCCAACAATTCCCAAAGTAGATACTATTAGCTTCTCAATGTTATGGATATGAAAACAGGCTTAGAGGAGGTAAATAATTGGTCTAGGTCAGTGGTTCTCAACCTTCAAGCCCTTTAAATACAGTTCCTCATGTTGTGACCCCAACCATAGAATTATTTTCGTTGCTACTTCATAACTGTAATGTTGCTACTGTTATGAATCGTAATGTAAATGTCTGATATGCAGGATGGTCTTAGGCGACCCCTGTGAAAGGGTTCAACCGCCAAAGGGGTCGCGACCCACAGGTTGAGAACCACTGGTCTAGGTACACAGGGAGCAGGAATGCATAGCTGACCTTCCTGTTGAGAATCCGTGGCTGGACACAGAGAGGCCTGTGGTGTGAGGTAAACCCTGTGCTCCTGACACGGTGAGCGGAGGGGAGGAGAGGTGTTAGGATGGGTTGTGGCCGCATTTGGAGAGGCCTGTCCTGCTGTGGCAGGAGTTGCATTAACTTGCATTTTTGTCAGCGGCTACATTTAGGAAGGAGTAGGGAGTGGGCATTGGAGCCTGTGGTGCGGGCTGCTCTCCCGAGGAGTCTGACAGGAGTGGGGCAGGGAAGATAGTTGTGGCTAGAGACCTCAAAAGAGTCAAGGGCTGTTTTCACAGAAGAAGGAAGTGCGGTTTGTTTGAATTTGAATGGGAATGAGCCAGGAGAGGGTGAGGGGGATTTACTGAACAGAGAGAGCGGGATGAGTGTGCATGGAGTTCCTTTCCCCCCACTTCTCTGTCTGCTCCTCCGCCTGCATTTCAGATCCACACTCCCTTTCCCTGTGCACCTTTTCAGTGGTGGTGTCCTCAGGCTCCTTCCGTTTCATCCCGCTTACTTTCCCTGGAGTCACACTCGCTTCTGCACTAGGAACTGCATCACATGTGTAACTCATGTCCCACTCCGGAACTCCTCACCTGTGTACCCACCTGCCTCCTGGGCAGCTCCTGTTCCATGTGCTGTGAGCCCAAACTCAACGTGTTCCCAAGGGAACGTCTCCCTCCCTCCCTCCTCTACATGTCCTCATTCTTCCCTCTTTCCCCTCCCAGTGAATTCATTCAGAGTTAACATACTTATCGGTTATTTATTATGTATGCTATGGATCTGGGGTCAGCATTGAACATGGCAGACGTGAGCCCTAAGTCATACATCGTAGTGGGGAGACCTACACTTGCAGTCGCCCTGGCTAACTCCTTCCTGTTTCTGCTTCATGCTGTTTCTGGGAAGCCTTCCCTGCCCTCCCAGACGAGTGTTTCCCTTTGCCTGGTCCTGTTGGCTTGTTTGTCTTCATACTAGATTTTTTCTTTCTTTTTTAAAATTTAAATTCTTTATTGTTTAAAGTATTATATAAGTCTCCTTTTCTCACCATTGACCTCTCCCCCAGCTGTTCCCACCCCCTGCACATGCCCTCACCCCCATACTGTCTGTGTCCATTGGTTGATCTCTTACCCTCATACCCCCTGCCTTCCCTCTTAGGTTGGACTGACTGTTTGATGCTTCTGGCTCTGTTTCTGTTCATCAGTTTATGTTGTTCATTATATTCCACAAATGAGTGAGATCATGTGATATTTATCTTTCTCTTGACTGGCTTATTTCACTTAGCATATCTTTATTGATTTCAGAGAGGAAGGGAGAGGGAGAGAGAGAGAGAGAAACAACAATGATGAAAGAGAATTATTAATCGGCTGCCTCCTGCATGCCCCCCACTGGGGATCGAGCTTACAACCCAGGCATGTGCTCTGACCAGGAATTAAACCAAGACCTCCTGGTTCAAATGTCAATGCTTAACCACTGAGCCATGCTGGCTGGGCCCGTACTAGATTTTAAGCTACTTGAGGGCAGGATCCATATACTTACTGTTCATTGCATCACTGCGGCCTGTCACAGTGCCCGTAGCACATAGTCGGCACTCTGTAAACATTTGTTGAACGATTAAATGGTTCCTTTCACATGTGATCGAGTTCACTGCAGCAGCATACAGTTCTCAGCGTGGCAGGTGCTCATAATGCATGCCAGGCGTGGCTGTTGCTTATTTGTTTTTGCCAGGTGGTGGCTGTTAGTTGTCCTACTGTAATTAATTTAATTTTTATTGCCAATTTCATTTACTTCTGGATTTTAAGATATTAACAGCATTTATGAACATCGCCATTTTCAAAATAAAGGCAGGACTGCAGATGTAGTACTTTAGTTAACAGTTGATAGTGTAATTAATTCAGGCCTTACTTATTTAGGTGCACAGAATCGTAAAGGTTTTTAATATATCCCTGTCATTGGTATTCAAAAGGCTTTTCATTAAATCACTGTTTTCCTTCAGCAAATCCTAGGAGTGCCCCATGCATCCGAACAGAGATATGACGCAGAATTCTTCAAGAAGTTCAGAAATCAGAATATTGTTCTCTCAGCAAGAACTTACGCGCGGGTAATTGCTTTTCTATAAATAAAACAATTGTGGTTACTAACAATTTCTAAATCTCTGAGCTATTCAGTTGATGTTATCGCATACATATGCCATTACATTTCCTTTTTTTGTTGTAATATTAGTAAATGTATACAAAATGAAATCATATTTAAAAAAATTTTATGCTCTCATCCCCGTTGTCCATGTCCATTGGTTTGGCTTATATGCATTCATACATGAGAGCATGAGTGGCGGGGCGGGGGGGGGGGGGGGGAGTATGGGGGTTTAATGGAGGGGATGAGGACACATTTGTAATACCTTAACTAATAAAGAATTAAAAAAAATAAATAAAAATAAGAAATTTTTATTCTTCATTCTGACTTTTAAAAATAAATGTTTTTGTAGCTTTAGATTGAGAAACATGACATAGACTAGGAAGAATCAGGACTATTTCACAATACTCGACATCAGATCTGCATAAAAAGTCAGTGAAAAGGTTTTGAATGTTGTCAGACTTTGTTTCTAAAGTTTCTAAAGGCCCTTGCCTTCTGCACAGGAAAGTAACGTACCGGCCCTGGAGATTCTGTTCACCTACCACGGGTCGGACCTGCTCCCTCATTGCCTCGCCATCCTCTCCAACTTCCCCGAGACCACGTCCCCTCACGAGTATGCTGCTCTGCTGCCCGAAGCTTGGTATGTGCCACTGTTAGTGGAATTTTACCTACTTTCTAAATTATGACAGTTTTTGTTTCGTGCTGAACCCCTTAAGTTGAAGAGTAATTTTAATGTAACCTATTTAAACCTTTTTTCTGATTATAAAGTTATTTCTGACTTATTTTAAATGATCCTGAAACCACACTGTGTTTTTGCACAAGCAGGGCCACCTTAACTTAATGGGCATGCACGTCCCTTTTTCTGAAAGCCCCCTGATTTGACTGCGGTGCACTCAGCATGTACTGTTTTCTGGTTAAGAGCAGGTTTTCAGGATAACGAGATCTGTTTGACTTAGTTATAGCTTTCAGAAATTGAGGTGTGGACTGACCACATTAGGAGTAAGACCAGGGGCCCAGGGCGACTGAAGCCTGTTTCTCTCAACAACCCTTTCTCCTCTGAAGTTCCAGAGGCAAAAGGCCAGTGCGAGATCAAAGGAGCACGTTACTGTTCCTTAGACTAATGCTCCTATCTCAGTTCGAGGCTGTTTGATTGTGTTGTAACATGTGACATAGACTTCCAGCCCACTGGCTCCACTTAGTCCCAGTGGGACCACCCAGGGGGCTTCTGGGGGTCAGCGCATCTCTTTTGGAGAAAGAGGAACAGAGAAGGTATTGCCTCAGTGCACAGCCCAGAGATGGTAGGCCATCAGGCCAGGCCTGAGCAGACCCGGGGGAGAGGGGAGGGCAGGGCACACCTTGCTTGCCAGTGACTGCAGAGCCAGAAGGCAAGGCTATGCAGCCACTGTGCGACCCCCCACCTCAGGGCACCAGCCCACCGTACATGTGGCTCCGTCATCAATTGCATGATGCGTCCTTTCTGACTTGGAGTTGATTTACCTTTAAAATGAACGGACAGTCCCTGTCTTGCTTATTCCCATTGCATGTTTTTAGTAACAGGTGAATTGATAGACAGGAAATCTGTTCGCATACTGTAAAACACCATCAAGGATTATGACACACCTGATTGAAATCATTGTTACAGCCCTTGACCTACTGGCAGCGTCTAGCTTTAAGGCATGTTATTGGAACTGGGATCACTTGGCTTCTTAATTCCTTCCCCGCCACCCCAACTCAGTGTCATGGTTGTAGGCTTAGGTGTCGATGATGATGACCAACATTTATGGAGTAATTACTGTGTATTGGCCCGTACTTCTGTCTGGTTTCCAAACACTGTTGGTATTATCCTGCTATTATAGAAAGCTGAGATTTACAGAGGCTTATTAATATGTTAAACTTCATATAAGTGCAGCCTGGATTTGAATCTATATTTACTTAGAGTCAGTAGGCTCTGAAAATATAAATTATAAGCTCCTTATTTTGCACTACTTATAGTGCTAAAAAGTTACGTTTTTGTTATGATAAAAGTGAACAAAAAGAAAATGCTGGGAATGCCCTTTTGTTTTCCACACTTTTGCTTTAGATCTGAATAGTGATATGTAAGTGTATTTTATAAATATGTATTTATAAATATTTTCTAATATAATTAATTTCTTCTTTTTTTCCGCTTCACAAAATAGATCTAATTTGAATGGAAAGGACTTTTCTACTGTAAATTGTTAATATAGAGTGAGGGCTACTGTTTCTTAAAGTGCTTTTAAAGGCAATTTCTCCTTAGATTTGAATGCATTTGTTGTTACTGTCTCCTGATGATTGCTTAGGTAAACATTTGATTTTCACCTGAAATTTCATCACAAAATAGTTTTATAGTGCAGTGCTACATTGTCTTTGAATGCCCTATGTTTTCTTTATGGGGTCCTCCATAAACTTATTTAAAATGTGACAAATATTTCAGGTATACCGTATTGCAGTGGAGGTTAATCAGAAGATAAAGTTATTTTGCATCTTTGTTTTGAGATATGTTGCTTAGACAAACTTTGAAAAGACTGATTTCTTCTGGGTCCATAAGTTATATCCATTTTAAACACATTGAAAAAACATAGACATTTTTTGGGTTAATCTTTGTTTTTCAAGAAAGTCTTTCACATTGAGTCTACTCTGTCTCCCAAAGTAGACGTGACTGCAAAGCCAAACCGCAGCTATGTCTCAGGCCCCGCCTCTTCTGCGAGGTCTTCCGTAGTTATGCCTTTCCCTGTGTTCTCATAATTCTTTGTTCATTCTTGTAGTAACCACTTTTTCTATCGTATCACAGCAGTCATTTTTATATCTCCTTCCTCCCTCTTGTTCCCTTCTGTAACAAACGCTCAGCTTCAAGCCCAAACAAATTTACACGCAGAGACCATCGCTTCCTTATTTGTGGATCCCCAGGGCCTCAGGTGGTGCTTGGTAGTGGGTTCTCTGAAAATGTTTGCCAAGTGGGTCAGGTCCATCTTGTGCCCATTTGAATAAAAGACTAAACGATGTCCCGAAGGGAATTCACTTTGCTTCCCGGCACTTACACCGACGTGAAATGGCCATTTGTCTTCTTCACTTTCTCCGATCATCCTTGGCCATCCTGTTTACAATTTACCACACTTGCATCCTCCCCCCCGTTCTGTTTCTTCCTAGCATTAATCACTATCTACTTCAGGCTGAGTTTTAACTGATTTGTCTTGTTCATTGTTTGCCTTTCTAAGATGTCAGCTCCGATAGGAAAGGGAATCTTATGTTTTGTTTCCGTCCTTACCCTCTGCACTTAGCATAGTGCCTGGCACCTTGTAGGCACTCTGACTGCTTGTTGGATGGGTGAAAAAATGAAGGAATGAGCATAAATTCCATGAGGACAGGACTTTGTATCTTGTTCACTAATACAGCCTCAGTGTCTAGAGGAGTGCTTGGTACAAAGCAGGAACTCAGAGTGGTTTTGAATGAACGTGTGGACTGGTGTAAGTTGGTTTGCATGAATGCGTGCACTAATTGAAGTAGGCGGGGTTTTATGTTTTAGAGTTCAAGCTGTATAATATTTTGGAAAGCAATAGTAAGTTGTGCCAACAAGTTGACCATTTAACTAGTCTGTTTTGAGAGCCCATTGGCAGAACTTTTGCCTTGGCATTTAAACACAATTTCATTTACCAGTTTTCATTCAACAAAATTTCAGGATTATGATTGCTGGGAAACTTCCATGGTATGTGTTATTTTGTGTTTTATATTGTCACTCTTAAATCATCCTGTGTATTTGACATTGATGGAATGTGACGGAGTTTTGTAAAACTTTGGAATTATATTTTCTGTCATAGATGATACATCTTTTTATTAGCTACTGTCTCAGTTTGTCACTGCCATAAAACATTGACACTTTATACTCCAGGTGACTGCTTTAGTTTTTAAGTAGAAAGGTGACATTTTTACCATCTTTATTAGCTCCCGTAATTTGTGACAACAAATTTTTTTGTAAACCAAAAGAAATATATTTTTTTGACTTTTGGTATTTTTGATGTTTATAGCACATTTTATTTTTTATTTTTTCAATTACAGTTGACATTCAATATAATATTAGTTTCAAGTATTATAGCACACTTTAGAAGGATTATTTAGAGTTTTCATTTATGCCTCTTTTTCCATTGTAAGACCTTTCCGGAATGATGAAAGTATCTAGTTTAAAAGGTTGTATTTAAACAGTTGTCTGTGAAAGAGTATGGCATAGGGTGAGAGCACTGACACTAGAGCCACGTTGCTAGATGCATGATCTTGGGTAAATTTTTAACTGTGCCTCAGTCTTCTCATTTGTCCATTGGTGATGCTTACAGTACTTATTTCATAGTGTTGTGAGAATGATTAATAAGTTAATGTATATAAAATACTGAGAACAGTGCTTGGCACCAAGTAAGGGCTACTTTAAGTGTTGGCAGTTATTATCAATGCAGAATTTCATGCTGAGACCATGGCCTCATACTAGTGTACTTATATACGACACATACTTATTATTTTAAACTTTTAATTGGAATAATTCTATAGTTACAGAAAAGTTGCAAAGATAATACAGAGACTTCATGTGCACCCTTCCTCTAGCTTGCTCTTTCTTACATAACCATCGCACATTTATCAAAACTAAGAAATTATTGCTGGAATAGTCTGCTCCAAATATAATGTGACAAATGCATTCCTAAAAACCACTGCACTATGCAGAATTGTGCAATGAAAACCACAGGGTTTATGGGGAAAATAGGGTTAGGGCCCAGCATTCAAAAACTTTGTGCAGTTTAACGAAGTTAGGAACCTAATAAAAGCTGTCCCATAGTTTTACACATTAAATGATGAGAAACACATAAGTACAAAAATATGGCACTTGACCTTGAGTAAGACCTGAAAAAGACTTGGCTTGTGGGTCTGGGTGTCTGAAGAGTCGCAGCTCATGTGTTCCTGGGAAGTGGAGGGAGAGTGCGATTAGCAATCTGACTGGGAGCTGTATGTAACAGATGTGGATGGGGAGCGGGGAGGCTAACTCACTCCCGGAACTGAGGTCGCTGGTGGGTGTCTGCACACATGATCTGACGTGGCACGGCCCAGGTGAGAGCAGTTTTCTGTGTTCACCTCTTGTTCCTTGTGGATGAAATTGTGCACTAGCAAACACGAAATTTGTGTCATGCTCAAATTGTTCCCCAAGGTATCAGTTTATTGAAACATATCAGCATTTTCAAAACATTATTGCCAAGGTGGCTATACAATAATATTGACTGAACTACATATTTATCTGGGTTTAACCCGCGTCTCTAGTGATGCTTTTTCTGTTTCAGTGTCCGATCAGGATAGAACCTTGCATTCAGACTTCCTTTCACTTATTTTTTAACATATGGAAATAAACTGTCCTTTAATGTCTGTCAGTCAGAAATCCGTTGACATATATTTACTAGACAATGAACATTGATACCCATATTTATATTCCTGGATTATCTCCAGAATCAACACAGAAAGATTGAATTGTATTTAGTGTGTTTTGAGATATTGCAATATTTAAATATTTTATAGTATAAGTTGCAAAACCGTTGATAGAAATAGAATATCCAGAACACCTCATTCTCTTCATCCTCCCAGAAAAGCTGTTAC